ACACACACACACTGTGTACCCCAGAGAGACATGCAGATGGGTTTGAGTCCTGCCATGGACACACACCGCTGCTTTTTCTGTTGAGCAAGTGTGGTTTGTGTGGGTTTGACAGGCCGTTTTTTCTCTCTCCACTGTGTTTGTCTCCTCTCTGCTGCTGTTTGCTGTGTGTATTTTCCCTGATGGATGTGGAGAAACAGGCTGTCATATCATGCATGGTGTAAAGGCACAGAGCTGAGGTCCAGGAGCAGAGGAAGGCCCAGGCTATAGAGGTGCACGAAGAGGAAGCGCTCAATACAGGACAAAGACTGTTACTTGCAGGAAGTAACAACGTTATCAGCTCAGATCAGAGATGCTAAGCCATTAATTGATTATAGAAATAACCACCCTGTGTAGTTGAACTCAGTTGGCACAGAGGGCACTGGAGCCTTTAGTTCATGTGAACAGCAAACAGAGCTAAGCTCTGGTACTACAATCTGATGGGAACGTAAATAGTTTCCAGTACAGTCGTCACAAAATCCATTGAAATATTCAGTATAATAAACAAAAAACTTCAAACAGGTTTTCAGTAATGTTGGGCAGGAAGGTGGGGGCTTTCTGTAATTTGTGGAGTATGTTTACAAATCGGAATGGATGGCATTGAACGCTTGGCAGTGAATTGTTACACAGGGGTGAACCATATTTCACAATTTGGCAGATAAACTGGATTGTGTCTACTGCCAGTCTCTTCAAAACAGGAGGCAGCTCCTCTGAGCATACAGTTAAAAAAGAAGGAATGTGAGGTCAGATTCTTGAGGTCAGATTGGTAGCATCTTTGTAACAATTCATTTTGCTTACAGTAGTGTGAATCTAATCTCTGTCAGAAAAGAATATTTTGCTAGAATTTCAAAGCCAAAACTGATTAACAATGCATGCTAAAACAGCAAAGTAATTTACTGATTTAATTAAAAAAATAGAAAGGATATTAATTTTAAATTGCATTTTCATGATATCACAGCTGAGAGCCCCATGTAATTATTCCCCAATTTGAAACAGCAATGGAAAAACTGGGCCTCTGAATTCACAATTTAACCCCTGCTACTGTATTTATTCTATTTCTAAGTAGAATCAATCACATGCAGACTTGCTAAACACTGGGCAGCTTTCAGTGGCATCACTGTACCAAAAAGGGTAAACTGTAATAAAAGAGTGAAGTACATGACTTCACAAGTTAACTCACTTTATATATTCCTTTTTTTTATTTTTGAATCACTGTCGAAAATAACACCTTGCAATTTCACTAAGCCCTCTATGTGACTCTTTATCCCCCTCTGCTGGTCATTACTTGCAACACAGACATATAAACAGCAAAATAATGGACTACAACTTTTACTAGGCATCATTAGCATTAAAATTCATGCAGTGTCCTCCATCGTACAGAGTCTGGCACACCTACGCACACGCGCACACACACACACACATTTCACATCTTGCATTCCCTTTTTGGCAAGGGGCCATCAATGATAAAAGAAAAGGTCTGCCTAACCCAGTTTAGATTTATGGTGCCTCTGACTGCACTGCTGTTTTACACCATGCTTTACTAGTTTCCCATTCAGAAGAGAGAAATCACTGGACCAGCTGCTGCAGAAACACCCACCTAATCGCTTTATTGTTCTGCAAAATCCTTCCTAAAGAGAATCCATTCTCTTTACTGCCTGACCACAAATAGAGCGAGATGCTCTCCCGTAGTGTTAGAACTGCATGATAGTGTATTGTATTGTAATATTGGATTCTGCAATATCAATAACGCCAAAAGAAACAACATGCAAATGAGTCCTCTTAACAAATCCCCAATTACTTTTACTGTACAGAGAGCATCCTGACCAACCTCTGTTCTGTTCTGTCTTCACTTTGATTAATAAACAGTACTGTGCAAAAGCAAGAGACCACTCTCTGTTTACTTAATTTTCAGTAAAAACAGTCATTAATAAAAATAATAATTATTATTATAATTATAAAGCTTATATAGTGCTTTTAAAGAGTGCACAGACACTTGAAATTGTTTAAAAATAAAAATAAAAAAAGAACACCAGAAGACAAACAAGTAAACACAGGAGCGCATAAAAGTGCAGTCAGGAAAAAAGAAAACACAGTATTTTCAGAATACTTGCTTTTAGTTTTTCAAAGAAATCTGGGGAGATATTGTTCAATACATCCAAAGTTCAGTCTTAAAGTTGGTTACATTTTCTGCTTCTCACAATCCAAGTAATCCCAAACAGATTAGATGATGTTAACGTCTGGCCTTTTGCACTATACTTTAAGACGTTTTAATAAAAAAATATTAGACACCAAACTTTAATCGTACCACATGGATTCAATACCGTGTTTGTAAAACACTACAAAGCAAAACATAATTGCATAATATAGCAGTATAATCACAATAAAGTATTTTGTGCTATATTGACTACTGTAGAGTGAGAAATATGGCTTATAAATTATGTCACACTTTCAAGATTCCAATAACAATACTAATCATGACACTGCACATGTAATCCTCTAAAACTTTACCTTGTCCTGAAACAGTATGTAGGAGCAAAAATGCATACATTTAATTTACTGAAGGCATTGTGATTACGCAGTCATGCTACCTGAGGTTTGACTTACATGATACAATACCAAGTGTACTATCACAATGCTCGATACTAAAACAACACTATGGCGAAAATGTAGAGATGTGTTATGTCGGCTGAACTCAAAGAAGAATATTCAGGTCATTCTTAACATCTCTGATTTTTTTATTCAACGTTTTTAACCAATACAAAACTCTTTAAATGTTAAATCAGAACATAACTATAAATAATTTAAACATCGTTTAGTTCTAAAGGATTGATCAACAGCGAGATGAGGAAATTCATGCGTTTAACTGTAAATATTTTTTATTGTATCGTTTTTATTAAATTGTATTAAAACACGAGTTATGATACATCATGCTACAGTAAGATATACCATCATTGTTTACAATGGCAGAAAGCTGCTATAGTTTTTTGGGCTTTAAGTCTGAACCGGCTGGAGGATTTTGAACTGTGTCAGTCCTCAACAGTCCAATGAAAGTGGCGATCAGCTCCAGGCGGCTGGAGCCTGGCTGGGCTTCACGCTGGATGGCCTGGATTGATGGGACTCATTTCAGTGGCTATAAATGCTGAAGCCCATCAGCATATTTCACTGTGTAGGCAGAACGCCAGACACAGCCTCTTGCCCCACCACAAACCCTGCGTTTCTCAGTCGGAGGCTGTAACACCCAGCCTATGATATCTCTGGAGCTCCTTTCACACATCCTGCTCAGATAAAAGCACAGTTCCGACCACAAATACAATACTGTCCTGAAAGAACACAAGCTAAAATGGCACCAAGCCTTTTAATACTGCTGCGCTTGTGTGACACGCCATTAATGTTTTTCTTCATATACATATTAAGAGCTAGATTTCATTCAAAAGATTAACATTAATGAAATGATGCTGATAAGAGCAGAACAGTGTTCAGGTGATGGATAGTGTAGCTTTAATTCTGCTCTCTATTCTGTCTCAGTGTGTTCATTCTTAAAGGGAGCTCTTTTAATGGCACACACAAAGCAACACAACATCAATTACAAGCTTTCAGACATACATGGCAACACACACACATCACGCAGCACCAGTAATTGTGGCATAGCTCCACAGGCAGGGAGGCAGATAAAACAGACATGGAGGAAGAAAGACGAAGCAACAGGCTGACTCATGCCCCTCAGAGAGGGTTGTGGGGTTCCTTAGTCACCTGCCAGAGATGCTAAAACTAGACCACATCCAATTAGAGCTTGTCTCTGTGCCTGTGCCAAGCAAGTTTGGCAGGAGCACACAGAACAGCAATGCCAAAGCTTCAGGCAACTCTTCGGAGAGTGCTATTACAGACAGCTTTCCATTTTTAGGTGCAGTCAGTAGAACCTGACATTTTGGCGACCTATCTTCAGAATCCTGCGTGTGTGTGAATACCGGACAAAAACACGGTTAACCTACTTTATAAGGTTCAGCAAAATCGTCCTGTCAAGGCAAAGCGCTTTTTACAAAACATATGTTTCGTTGCTTAAAAGTGCAAGTGCAAAGGGCATTTCTTTTCTGTTACTGAGGCTATATTAGAGAAGGCCTAATGATTTCTGTGAAACAATAAAAAATACATGCCTGTTATTTGTTTATTTTTATTTAATATAATTATCATGCTTGTTGTATTTAACTTAATACTCCTATTTCATTGTCGAATTTTGGTGGTAAACAAAGGGGTTAAAAATTATCCAATCAGGATTTTTGTATCTGTGACATCTGGGTGGATGCAGCTCTCCCATTCGTCAGGACTAAGTTAGGAGCTGGACTAAGTTAGGAGCTGAACCGAAGGCCTAACTCAGATTAACCACTAACATAATTAGAAACTGACAATGGAATCAACCAATCAAATTTTGATTTGCAATGAGTGGGACCAATTCTGTGAGACAAAAAAGTCACTCAAGCCCTCCTGGAAGCCTTAGGCATGTCACTGTAAGAATGGTAGCCTGACAAACTCATTTTAGTTATGTGTTAGAAATGCAACATTGGTGCTGGCAACTCTACGCCAGGACTCTTTTCTGAAGGGCTCATTGTCAAATTGTTACAAGCTACAATTAATATGTATTTTACAAGCTTAAAATAGAACACAGAATGTGTTTCACAAACTGTAAATGTCTGTGTTTAATCTATCATAACCATTTTTTTTTTTTATATGAATTACTGTATATTTAGTGCTAAAATACTAGTAGAATCCCACAGGCATACAGAAATTAGCATTATTGTAGTTATTTTCTTCCTCATTTTTGACATTTATGCGCTGAACTAAAGGCTTAACTTTAATAGTTATGGTTTGCTATTGTATATAGGACATACATATGACCTTAAACATACAATCACAAATAAAGCAGCAAACACCAAAATAAAAGAAATAAAAACATGCATATGTATTTATACCTCAGAATCTTTGAGCAGTTCTTTGCTCCTGTGTGCTGGGGATGCAGGTGGTTTGTTGCAGGTCGAGGCAGACAGGCCTGTCACTCCTCCATTCTTCACTGGCTCGTCTGAGGTAGGCTTGAGCCCCGACCAGCCAGAAACGTTCTCTACACACACATACACACATGCGCAAAACACCTTTAGACCCATTTACAACCTAACAAAACAGTCACTACAAAAACAAAGAGTCATTTTAATGTGTGTAAAAAAGCTTCATGATGTATCAGTCTGAAAGGTGCTGATTCAATTACTCCAACTTTGGAATGTTATAATCTAGTATGGGCCTAATCAATTATAATAACACTAACCTTTTGTCCCCAGTAAAAATTCCCAGGTTATTTTCAAACATAAAAAAACTTGATGAACTGTTTTAATTGTTTCTCCTTCACTACTGTGAAAATAGTTTCTTGAGTTACACTGGTGTAATTCATGTATTTTTAAAATTAATTCTCAACAATGAAATTTGAGATTTCATAATGTACTGGATGATCATAATCAAACTGAACTGCTTTGACATCAGAAACATACACCTTTAGTCATTTTACACTCATTGTATGAATGTTAAACTTTCTATACTTGGCAGACAGCTTCATTTCAGTGGTGATCATTTGCTTTTAGCATCAGTGCTGCATAGCAAGTGAGTGACACTTCATTATCAAACAATTAAAAACCAACTGCATGCTTGTCACTGTGAAGCACAGGAGTTTCCACCAAGATGTCAGCCTAGACTGACAAAAAAAGACACATACATCGCAACATCTCCAGCTTTTCACCACTACGTCTAACTTACAACAAAGATTACAGCCACAGCAGGCCAAAGATTCACTCACCTGTGTTTAGCCCCTGCGTGTGTGCGGTAATGTTGCGGGCAGCCTGGCTAACATTGTGCTGGAGAATGCTCAGACACTCTCCCAGACAGCTGAGCGTGGCTGCAGACGTGGCCTTGAGCAACAGCAGGTCGGGATCCAGCGAGGAGAGCGGCCCACGGCTGGGTAGAGACTCGATGGAGTTCAACAGGTTCTTCTGCTGGCCTTCTGCCTGTGACATGACCTGTGGAGAGCAACCAAGTGAGGAAAGGACTTTTAGAAACTGTGGAGCCTCTGTTTTAGTTATATTCGAAAAGTCCTTTGAAAAATAATTCCTTGCCCTTTAAACTGAAAGGGCTGGTATGTGAGACCACACTTTTCCTTATGTAACTTGCACACATATTACAAACCTCATTTCCATAAAAGTTGGGACAATGTAACAAATGCTAATATAACAGAAAGCAGTAATTTCTAAAATCTGTTTGACCTGTATTAAAATAAAAAACACAATATTTGACCCCAACTGATCCAGTTTACAAAGTGTGTGGGTTTTTTTTTATCATTCTTCCATTATACAGTTATATATTCTTTAGCTGCACAATTGTATAAGATAATGTGCCACATGTTTCAATGGGAGACAGATTTGGGCTGCAGGCAGGTCTGATTACGCAGCCATGCATGCACATGCAGAACATGGTTTGCCATTGTTGAGTTCCCTAAAAAAAGACGTTGTCTAGAAGGCAGCACATACGGCTCCAAAATGTGTATATATCTTTCAGTATTAGAGGTGTCTTCAGTGATGTCAAAGTTACCCATGTCACTGGCACTATCATACCCCCATAACAAGACAGATGCAGGCTTTAAGCCGAACTACAAACTGGTAACAATCAAGATTGTCCTTTTCTTACTCAGCCGGCCATTCATTCACTGAATCTTTTGATGATATAAACACTGCAGAGGGTGAAATATCTAAAACCCTTGCAATCACTGGTTGAGAAATGTTCTTCTTAAAATGTTGGTTTATTCGCCGTTGCAATTTTTGGCGGTGTGGTGAACCTTGACTCATCATTGGTCAGGAAGGACCACCCCTTTTCTAGATGCTCCTTTTATTCAAAAGCATGATTGCATCACCTGTTTAAGTTTTTTTTTTTACATTTTACAACATTAAATTGCCTGTGTCCCAACTCTTTTGGAATGTGTAAGCATTTCTAATCATTTCAATGTCAAGAGCAATACACCTTGTATACAGACATACAACTCTATTACAACGCAGTGCATAGACTAACTAAATGGCCATTTCTAAGACTGAAACTCATGTTCAGCAAACTACAAGTGCATTATGATATTGTGCTCCTACGCAGCGGCTTTCGAGTGCTTGTATAATTATGTAAATCCTACTTGAGCTCTGAGGACACTTAATATAAAGTACCATAATGGTTTCCCTATATTACAAGAAAAGTGCAGCACATTAATCCAATCTGGAGAGCTTGTATTACAGGCCTTGTCTCTATAGGATGATGTGGAACAGACTGAGACTGATATAATCCCACCGGAGAGAAACTAATCTCCTTTAACTCAATCCCGTATTCCCACAATAACAGGGGTTCAGCCCAACCTGTGGAGCACCCTTCAGTCGCATGAGTCAAGCTCTTAAACACTACTGGGATAAATGGTGGTATGGTGGTATACTGAAAACTGCAGTGTGTTATGGACTGCATGTTTTTAATATGTAGACCCTCTGAAGAGCAGCAGAGGGGAGGGCTCTAGGAGGAGAGCCAAGCAGAGGCGTGGGCAGTGTGAGTTTGGCAGGAGCTGGCTGGTGCAGTTGTCATCTATTTTACAGTCTGTCAGAGGATGCGTAATGATCTCCGAGCATTTGATGTGCCGTGGATACAGAACTGCTCTAATGAAAAAGGGATAGACAGCTGAGGAGGATTGGGAGGAAGTGACTCATTACTTTGGGCCAGCTCAAGGAGGAAAGAGCACGCACACACACTTTTTGCCTCGGTGTTTCACAGTCACTTTCTCTTGTCTTTCTCTCTTCCCTTATTGCAACACAGTTGCAGCACAAGTGCACTTTTAACAAAGCCAGTATTCATTTTAGCAGCTGAGAAATACTAGACATAGTTTCATTTATTGAACCTCAATAAAACATTATGACACACGCATTAAATCTTAATAGCAGCATTTAATAGTCCCAGAGTGCCGTTTTTAAGCTTTTACTATCATAGATTGTGCTAATCAAATATTTGCAGGCTTTTATAAAATTACACATTAGGTATCATAGTAAAACACAGATCACCACTGGTTGAAACATTAAAGGGACACTCCCGTCAAAACAAAAATGTTAACCATCACTAAACCTCAATGGCTGTGTGATGTGTGTATGTAATGCATGCTGGTTACTGTAGTTAAAGAACAATGATGGATGAAAACATGAAAATGATACAAAGTCATAAATTCTGTAAAACCGATGAGGTTAAGGGATGCAATGTTGCACAACTGAAAAGCATGACAAATAACACATTAAATAGTAGTTTTAGGCTGGAATGCTCCTTTAACTTTAATGGAGGGGTCGTGCTCCTTTTTCTGTTCCCCTGTCACAGCTCAGCAAACTTTGAGCAACAAGGAGAGTTTGCTGTGCTTGGTGATGCTTAGATTCTCATAACTCAACCCTCATAAAAAATAGATACATTTTATTATTCTCTCTGCCTCTGTGATCCATTTCTTTTTTAAGAGGCTTCAGCTCTGGTGAATGTCGCTGAATGTAGCTCATGCATGCTGTTGCTATGTCTTTACGAAAACATAGTTTACAACAATGGTTCCTAAAAAGAACCATCCATTCAGAGGTCCTTTAGGGAACCAAAAGTGGCTCATCTTTGTCTTTGCTCCAAAGAACCTTTTGGCATCTTTATTTTTTAAAGAATGTATGGGTAACTTTTCTACTGATGAGGGTGATGTGTTTGAGAATGTGCTTCTGAACTCCGCGCTGTACTGAAGAGCTCTGGTCTTAGAAGAAATGACTCTGAGCTGTCTGGGCTCTTTGTTCTGTCTTTACCTGCTCTTTGGCTCCAATGTCCCCATGAGAGCACAAAGCGTACATGGAGTACACAGAAACAGTCTCTTTCACTGCAGCATACTCTCCTTTTCCCCTTTCCCTCAATGCTCTTTTATTTCCCTCTCTCACTCTTTTGTTCTTGCATTCTTTTTCAACAGTAGAGTCCATGGCATAGTGGCAGTAGCTGTAAGAGGACACCTCTACCCTCAAGATCAGAGTCTCTCACACAGGTAAGAGACTTTCTCACCCAGAAACACGCTTAAGCTCTTTATGGATGTAGCACATCATGAACCACATCTTTGCCAGGTCTATCACTATTTTCATGGCATTAAAGTTTTCATGATTAAGTAAAACACAATTATGCATAAAGAAGTGGCGACTTAGCAATGTTGATAATATACAGCACTGTGCAAAAGTCAGAGACCACCCTTTATTTACTTAATTTAAAAAACGGTCATTAAGTATAAGTTATTTACTTTTCAGGAGATATTTCTGATGAGATTAGATATAATATACCTGTATAAGGGTGGGGAAAGTCAAAGGAAAATCAGTGAAAAAACAGGAGTTTCCAAAATGTTTTTAAAAGGTATAGAGAAACTCTGAACAATTCTGCAAGACCTGGCAGAGCACCAGCACAGTCACCATCACATAAACAGCATTTAAAGCTTTCAACTTTGACAGATTAAAAAAAAATGTGAAAAAATCCACAGGTGTTTCCGTCCATCCTTCCACTGTGAGAAGACTGTGCAGCTGTCAGCTGTTATTGAGAAAAAAGAAACAGACAAAAAAGGAATATTTGCAAAATCAAGAAGCTGAAAATACAACCAACCTCTGAGACTAAACTATAAATATAAATCTAAAAAAAAAAAAGATTTCTTTAAAACCGAATGGAAGCTGTTGTAAAGGGTGAACACACTAAATACTGAAATACTGAATTTAGTTGTTGAGGCCTCTGTGTTTTGTTTTGTGGCAAAAACAATACATGCAATGTAACAAAACGTCTACAGAAATATACACTAGTCACCAGTAATCACCAGTTTTTAGGAACACCTGCTTTGTACCTACACTCCTCTGCAATTTTCTATAAAACATATACTATATAAGCACACTTTGTAAATTAAAAAAATACTGACTGTAGCTGACTCAACAGTGGCTGCACAATTTATTAGCCACCCTCTTAAGTGGTGGACCATTCTGAGCACAGCCATGGCACTGACATGGCTGTGTGTGTTGTGCTGGTATGAGTGCATCCGGCACAGGAATGTTGCTAGGGGCTTTACACACCGTGTGCACTATATCACGCTGTGCAGGAAGTACTGTAACAGAATTATACTGCATATCACAGAATACAAATTGCTGGGTGCAAATAACTGGAAGTCTAGCCTCTAGCGCCCATTCATTTTTGCTGTAGAAATCGAGCAATGAGATGAAAAAAGCTGCAAATGGTGTGAAGTCTAAAGGGAAAAGGAAGACAGATTACAGCTATCTCCAGCAACCAGGAGCCGAACAGTCACTCTCTCCTTTTCATTTGCAGACAAACTTTCACTTTGGCCAGCAGGTTTTACTGACAGCTGACAGATCCTGTTCTCTGAGGTACCTCAGGAAGCCTTCTATCAGTCTCTGTGAATACTGTGAAATAGTGAATAAGGTCTATACGGTGCAGTCAATAACTAACAGAACAGTGAAAATTAAACAATGACTATTAGGTTAAGGCATTTTTAGAGAATGTATACTAGGGGAATCTTAATCACATAAATATCAGTACATATATTTCCACAAACTGGAGTACTGGCTTTCCGGTTGTTTCTTGGCCAATTGTGCGAACTATTTATTCATGCATAAGAGATCTAAGAACAGGTCTGAAGTTGATTCTCAAAGTGGCATTTGCATCTGGAGTCTGTTATTGTCCCTCAAAATGACTTTTAGCACTATCAAAATCAACAGGGGTGGTTCATTCTTAAAAGCAAGAAAGCACTGCAATTTAGAAATAGCAAACAACCTGGGAGACCACAGAAGTCCACAGTAGTGGAAATATGCTTTTAATCATTACAGAATTCAGCAAGAAAACTGCTGAAAAGATCAGGAACCACATCCAGACTCTAGGCATAAATGTGTCAATGGCAAGATCCAAATCACAAAGGCCAAGTTACACTATACTAAATGTACTAAAGTACATTAACAAAAAACCTTATGAATGGATGACACAAACATTAACCTATGATTGAATGATGGAAAGAGGAAAGTGTGGACAAAAAAAAAGTAACTCTTCACAATCTAATGCATATTATTTAATCTCTCAAACATTATGGCATAGGCATGTATGGCTGCATGTGGAACTGCGCCATTACTAGTAATGTGACTGTTGACGGAAGAGGCAGCATAAGCATTTTAACTGCTTAGATGCAATAAAATGCGTTACAACTTACTGGATAGTGCTTTTCATTTCAGCAGTACAGACACCCTAAACATACACCTGAAACAACTTTGGAGTTTTTCAGGAGCAAACAGTTAAGGAATGTTCTTGACTGGCCAAGTCAATCACCCAACCTGAAAAATGAGCATGCATTTCAAGTACTGAATTAAGACTGAAAGAAAAAAAAGCACAGCAGGAACTGAAAACAGCTGTGGAATAGGTCTTGTAAAATAGCACCAGGGAAGACACTTTGCCACGTGTCCGGTGCCGTCTATGGGTCACAGCCATAAATAAACCAAAAAGGATTTGCAACCAAATACTACACATGTCTAAAGAAGATCAAACTTACTTTGTCCAATTTCTTTTGACGAATGGAAATGGCAGGAATATGTACAAAAAGGGCTGTGATGGCTATATGGTTTCTCCAGTATAGGTGCATATTACTCAAATGTTAAAACTAAACTTCTATACTTTAACTGACAGTGATTGTTTTATATCTAATGTGCTGGAGCCAAAACCACAAAATTGTGTCATTATCCAATGACTTACAAATTTTAAAATTTGCACTGGTTACAGCTTATACAGTATTTAAAATAAATTAAAGTGATTTCAAACTCAATTTTTAAATTCAATTCCATGCATTAGATTCCACATTACAGTGCAGTGACACTTGGCAACAGAGACTATAATTAAAATGCCGTAAGCAGTGTTTGTCCAGAGCAAATACCACACAATGAGTGAAAAGTTCTGGATGGCCAATCATCTTTTTTTGGTTGCAATGGCTAATAAACTGTAAAGTGGTTTTCTAAAAAGAGTTTATATTTATGATTTGACAATATCTTGCTCTATGTAATAAAGGCTCCTACTAGCATAATCCAGTCTAATGAATTATTTAACTCAACACACAGAGGAGATGTTAGGAAAGGCTGCTGAATCATTTCCCCTGCGGTGCTTTGACATGCGCAGCAGAAAAGCTCTTTTTGCGGTTCAGCTTGTTTTAAATTATTTTCTCTTTGGCCTCTTTGGCCTGCCAAGGAAAGGGAAAGCGCTGCCTAACTTGTTGACAAGAATACGCCTCAAGAGCCAGAAAGCCATTGAATATATCAGGACATGTTGCATCAGAGACTGACACATACGGCTTTAATTAGGGACTGTTCATCTTACAACAAGTCACTTCTTATTAATCACTGCAATAAAACTGACTACTTAATTCATTTGGCTTTGGGTTCAGAGCAATAGAAAACTGAAAAGTGCCTCCGCTGTGGTTTTTGACCTTCAGATAGCTGTTCAGATAGAACAATAAAGCTGTTTCAAGGTGTAATTTTTTCAAAAGTTTATAATGTGGTCTAGCTAATAAAATAAGATACAGTCTTCAAAGCCCACTAAAATCTCAAACATACCCATTGTCCACTACAGAACTATCAGCTATAGATCATGAAATTCAGTAGTGAAATGATGGATAATTTATACTTTTTACCCCAGCCAAAACACATAAAGAGACGCTAGAGAGAGTCCTTAGCATACACTGCGGACACCGGACACTTCATAGCTCATCTTCATTTTCAAGGTTTTTTTTTTTGTTTTTTGCATTTACATAACATCTTAACACAAAAACAGAGGGTATGCTGCACTATTAACGCATGAGGGCAGAACTCAAAAACACAAAAATTTGCAATAGGCCATTAAGTTTAGTTTGCACAGCTCCACTGCATCATTTTTTTTGACGACTGTAGTAACAATAGCAGAAGCTTCCTTTATATTGACAGTATGTCTTGATAAGCCACATTCATCTCTAGAAAACTAAGTGGTATACTGCTTACTCAATTTCTGCTGGTCCTGTTTTTTTTCCTTTTTTGAAAGCCTGATTTGTGTTTTTTCTGTGGCATCTTCATCGGAATTAAAATAAAATCTTTCAGCCTAACAATTCTCCCTACAGACTGTGACTGGGTTAAACTACTGAACGTTTACATGGAGAGGCCCACCCAGAGGGGTGACGCGCTGTTGTTGGCACTGCATCTAAAATTTAAATTATTATATAACAAATTAAGTGATTTAATTAAGAATCATACAGCAAAACATAACAAAATAAAGAAATAAAAATTAAAATAAACACACAAAAAATATAATAGCAGCCCTAGGTGTAAGACGTGTTATAATTTAGTGTAGCTTCTTTGAGAGCATATGAATATACAGTGACCGGCCACTTCATTAAGTACACTTCCTTGTATCTACACTCGTTGTCCAATTCATCAGCTCCACTTACTATGTACATACACTTTGTAGTTGTACAATTACATCCTGTGGTCTATCTGTTTCTCTGCATACTTTGTTAGCCCCCTTTTACATGTTTTTCAATGGTCAGGACCCCCCACAGGACCGCCACAGAGCAGGTATTATTTGGATGGTGGATCATTCTCATCATCTGTTTGTGTTGCACTGTTTCTTTTATCACCTTTAACACAGTTGTCACTGCTGGACTAAGAATAGTCCACCAAACAAAAATATCCAGCCAACAGCATTGTGTGGGCAGCATCCTGTGACAAAGTGTGCAGAGAACAGATGGACTACAGTCAGTAATTGTAGAACTACAAAGTGCACATATATGGTGAGTGGATCTGATAAAATGGACAATGAGTATAGAAACAAGGTAGATGTACTTACTGAAACGGCCAGTCTGTGTATGCTCACTGAGCCCTGGATTCCCCCCCTTATAAAAAGGAAACACCAACTGTAAAGTATTGCTGCAACAATGTCAAAACAATGTGATGACACAGATTTTTGCCGAATAGCGAATTTTAGATGCTGACGCATCACTCCCAGGCCAGCTGAGCCTGAAGAGCTCCACAGAGGACTTAGCTAATACTGCACTTTGCAAACCAGACAAAAATGAATCTTAAGGAAGAGACAAAAAAACACCCCAACACTAAACAATATGTGACATATAATAACATATATGTCAGAAGTTAACTGCTGAGGTTGAAAAGACTGCTGCTAAAAACAGTCTTACAGTTACATTATCTTACAGTTGCCCCTATACTACAGAGCCTGTTTTAAAGCGATAGTTCAGCGAATAATCTACAAGACCACAAGGCTAATGTAACTAACAAGTAATGCAAGCTTACAGACCAGTAATTAGCACTGTGCAAACTGCATGCCTAAATCACACATTTAACTCAATTCGAACATTATAATGTTATAATGACTAGCTTTCTGACTAGATTTTCTGACACTATAGGATAGTGTTGTCTTTAAAAATGGAAAAAAAACAGACAAAATTGACTTAAGATGCTTTGACCTCCGTCCATTTAACTAGAGCTCAGGTAAACATTTTAAAAATTAGCTTTTTTGCCAAACTATCAGCTGTTGGTTAGTTAGCCACACTCTCTCCACTGAACCTGACCCTACCTCTTTGACCTGGTGCAGGTGTGCAGGATTGTGGCTGCAGGTCCGGTGGCTGGTGATGGGGGATTTGTGGTGGGTGATGGTGATGATGGAGCCGGGGGTCCCATGGCCATGCAGGGAGTTCTGTCTCTGGGTGGTGGTGGAGGAGCAGGGCGGGACAGGGTGCGGGAGTAAAGAGAAGCTGCGGGTCCGGCCAGCTGAGGAAGAGCAGGAGGCCGAGGAGGCGCGGCAGCCCTGAAAGAGACGGCAGCAGTAGCAGCTCGAGTGAGAGGGCCCACAGTTGCCCTCGAGGACACACACGGGCCCTCGACTGTCACCCCACTGCCCCGTCACGCATGAGGGCATCTTCTGCTCGACAGGACCCAACAGAGCAGCCTCACACACAGGGAGGGAGGGAGGGAGGAAGGAATGGAGGGAGGAAAGGGGTGGAGGAAGTAACATGGAGAGCGAGGGAGAGGATGAGCCAGGAATATGAGAAGAGAGAAAGAATGTGCTATAGAATGTATTACGCCTCCAGGGAGCAGTGTGGAAACAAAGGATGCCATCACAGCTCAAACAAAATACCTCCATCATTTTAACTTTCTCTAACACGCACAAAAATACAAGTACAAAATTCGGAGCTCTCCTTCCTGAAAACAACCACAATATCTAACAACAGACATTTTGTGCATTAGCGCTACTCATTTCAATATTTCCACATCTTTTCTATGCAGCCGCACCAAAATCGATATATCAATCTGTTTAGCTGACGAAAACGTATCTAGGCCGAGTCTGAACAAATGTGCATAGAAACCCCTGTGCAATTTGGAGAGTGCTGCGAAAAAGAACTCACTCTAAAAGCCATTTCAAAAATGTTTAGTATGTATAAAGGATAAGCACAATCTTCACACAGAAAAGTAGAAAATGAACAGGAATGAAGATTCACCAAAAAAGCCTGAGTTCATGGAGACTGTAAGCATTTGTCTGAGGCCTGACAGAGCTGCACTGCCTCAGTCTAATAAACAGTCCATTACAGTTGCAGTCCTATATTTGAGGCAAGAAAAAGGTTGCATAAGCCAGAGATTAGATAATCTAACACCTCCCAATGTACCTCGACAAGGCTGTGAACAGACCTTTTAGGTGTTACCAGTTTATTAATAATTGTACCGAACTGCCAGTTTAATAATAACTGTGTCCAGAGTCATTGGCCATTTTATTAGGTACACATACCATATACGTGCTTTAATTACCGACTGTAACCCAAATGTTTCTGTGCACCATTTATTTTTAGCTACCCCCTACATCACCAATCAATAAAGAGCGACCACAACAGGACCAGTGCTGACCAGAACATGTACAGAGTACTACCCAAATAGTATCTGGACAGTGGTCTGTTTCCATTGATGGATGGGGTAGAGGGTGGCTGATAAATTGTGCAGCAAAAGATGAGCTACAGTCAGTATTTGTAAATCTACAACAGGCATCTACAGTACTGAGCAAAAGCTTTATTTAAATTGTTTTATTTTAAGTTATTAATTTTTCAGCATCAGCAAAAAAATCAGAAAACATTTTAACAGAAAATTACATAGAAGCTTCAACAACTAAATATAACATCAAATTAAAAATGTATTTATTGTGTCCATGCTTTGCCTTTATTAGAGCTTCCATTCTTTTCCAGATGCTAGTTTTAAGTTTTTCAAAGAAGTCTGCAGGGACTTTCTTCACACCTGCAAAGTTCAGACTTAGACATTGGTAGTATTTTTTGCTTGTCAGGATCCAAGTAATCCTGAACACATTCAGTGATGTTTGTGACAATGAGTGATTTACACTCAGTCAAATTCATCAGCTCCACTTACCATGTGTGTGCACTTTGTAGTTGTACAGTTATATCCTGTGGTCTATCTGTTTCTCTGCATACTTTGTTAGCCCCCTTTTACCTGTTTTTCAATGGTCAGGACCCCCATAGGACCACCACAGAGCAGGTATTATTTGGGTGGTGGATCATTCTCATCATCTGTTTGTGTTGCGCTGTTTTTTTAACACCTTTTAACACAATTGTCACTGCTGGACTGAGAATAGTCCACCAACCAAAAATATCCAGCCAACAGTGTTGTGTGGGCAGCATCCTGTGACAAAGTGTGCAGAGAACAGATTTATTTCCTTTTATTTCCTTTTCTCAGTAACCGCTTCTTGACAGCTACACTATATATACAGCTATACTGTATATGAAAGGTGTACCTGAAAAAAATGTAGAAACAAGGTAGATCCACCATACTGTCAAATCAGTATAGGTAATGTAAAATGTGGGATGTGCAACAATGTGGGAAAGCAAGAATGTGCATTTGGAAGTTACAAATAAGGCTTCACTTTTTCACCACAAATCCCTTACACATATCAGATACAGCAAAACAAATTCAGAGATTAAATGGCCATGATAAAGGCTTCTGCAGTCTCATGAGTACACTGCTGGCTTCTCTCGATAAAGATGTACTAACAGATACAAAATACTGAATCATTTTTCCTCTACCAGCTTTAGAAACATCAGCATAATGATTCATATGCCCACTAAGTATAAACAATGACTGTAAAAGGCACCTTCAAGCCCTGTATGCTGGTAAACAAATATTTCGATTGACATGTGACAGGCCTGCTTCAGTGAAAGGGAATTTTTAATGTGTAACTTAACAATCCACCACAGTGAAAGTGAATGATTAATGTTTAACTCTGCAGAAGTTAAACATTAAATAATAATTTGGCACTCGTGACATGGAATGCAGACTTCATTCATGCATTCATCCTTTCATTAGTTTAATGCATAAAAATGTGATGGATTAATTCTCCAGAGCCATACTACTATCATACTCCATTCCAAGTACAGGAATAACACATGAAAAAGAGGTAACAAAATATGGAACAAAACTATGCAGTCATACTTGGTGCATTCATAGCTCTAGTTCAGCTCATCAGTATCTTTCATTTATTTACTCAAGCAGAAGGCAGAACTGTGGTACAGCACTAAACCAGCTACATATTCAACAAAAATTCAGTTTGGAAGCAAGCAAAACACAGACTGTGAACAAAACAGAATTTATCATCTGTCTTTCAAAGTGTTGTTCAGGGCAAACTGACAAGATCTCAACTGCTGTGAAGAAGTGCATCTTCAGCAAACTGCCCCACATTCAGCACAGGAAGACGGGTAGAATATCCTTGAAAATACCCTTGAATTACAAGATTGCTGAGGCAGATTGCCAAAGTGACAAAGGGGTCAGAGGAAAAGGAAACAGAGGGAAAAAGAGAGACAGAGACAGACGGAAAGAGGGAGATATGAAGGAGACGAAGCAAAGTGGATTGCACTGTAACAAACTGGGTTACCTTGGCACTGCTATCTGAGTGGCGACGAGCACAGAGCTGGAGCTGGGTCATCCACAGCTGCCGCTCACACGCATCACGGGCTGCACAGACACACAGCACACATATCAGTATCATCCCTATAACTTCTATGTACTTACTGTCTGTCTGTGGCAAGGTCATACTGCAAAAAACCTAACTCATTCCCATAATAATTTACAGTATTGTGCAAACGTTATTGACCACTCTTTATTTATTTCATTTCCAATCAAAACAACCACTAAGAGCAAGTTCTCCTTGTGTATTATTTTGCATGATACAAAATATTTTTAATATTTTAAAAATATATTTTAGACCAAAATCTTAACTCAAAACTACTGCAAAACAAGTTCTCAGGCATCAGGCAACATGTTCATAACCTTTTCTTAGAATAATTTTATTTGATGTAGCTTTCAGACACATTAAACGCTTTAGACACTTGGTTGCTTTCACTAATGCTGTGCACAATTCTCTTGGTAAGTTTCTATAGAATGGTGTATTTCACATTAAACCACTCTGAATTACTTTATTTACTAATTCACAACTTAATTACACTGGGATTTAGAAAAATCAATGGAATTATTCTTTAATGTCGAAATTACAGTAAGGTAACACTGTAGTATTGCAATGTTAATAGTGGTCATGTGCCGTACCTGCAGTGCTCATTGGACTCTGAACACAGAAGAACAGAATGTAACTTCCCTGGTTATTAATATAGAAGTTACAGTAAATGTGAGCATTTCCAGCTTCAAGATGACAGCAAGATATTAAATCTTGCCTGAAACACAAAAACTCAATCTGAGGCATAGCTCTAGCCCAGGGTCAGACCAGAAAAGTGTGAAATGAGAAAAGCGGCACCTGAAGATTGTCGCTGCAGAACAGCCACAGTGGGAGTGGAGCGGTGGGTGACCCCTGCAGCGAGGCGCTCAAATCACACTGCATCACGCTAAAAGTGTAAGAGCCATTTCCCTGCTCTTAACTAGCAAGCCATCTAAGACCGCTTTTTGTTATGCAGGAATGTTTTCTTTTTCATAAGCAGTTCAACTGAACAGTTGAGGTAATGTATGTAACATAAGAACTCAAAGATTACAATAGGCTTAATGTAGTATACTGAGAAAGACGGGAGGAGACAGAATGAAAGACAGACTGAACGAAAGTGGGACCTGTTTTAACTGAGAGAAAGAAAGGGGTCAGGACGACCGCAGCTGGTAGCACAAAAGAAAGGAATGAGAAACACATAGAGAGGCATATGTTCCAATGAAAAGAGAGAGAAAGCTTGCCCCAGGTAACAGTGCTGATAAAAGGAAGCAGTGTTTAGAAGATGGCAGACAGAGAATAAGTCTAAAGACATGAGCAGAGAAGAAAGAGAATGAATGACAGCAGATAAAGAAATCTGATCTGAGGTGGCACAAGGATAGAAGGATCAGAACAGAGGAAAGTGAATATGATGCAGCCCAATAGGAGAGAGTGTGTCAGAAAGAGGGAGAGAAAAGCAGGGCACAGCAGAAGTAGTCAGATGGAGCAGAGATTGAGCAGTCGTTCATTCTTTTACCTCTCAGCTTGAAGAGCTCTCCGTTAGCAGCATAGACCGTGAACATGAAAGGAAACTCATCACTCAGGGCCACTGAAGAGCCAATCAGAGGCAAGGAGCCTCGAGGCTTCTGGTTCTTGCTCTGCTCATTTAAGAAGTACTGCAGCTGACCGAGCTCAGGGTCCAGCACAAAATATCTGCAGAAGGCAAGACAGAAAAAGAAGGACAGAGAGGAGGCATAACGCTGTATTCCACTGTTTAGAACACTTAATGGTAATTAGTAACATTAAGTTAAACCGCACAATATATACTTTTTTCCACACTTTGTGTTAAATAGAAGAGTTTAATGTAGTATACAAACACTGCACATGTGGAGAGTAAACTGCCAGGTTTAAATTCATTTTTTTTGTGATGTCACATAAGCCATTTACACATATCTGCCTATCCGGTTTGATGCAGACAACACAGTACCAACCACGTGTCCACCTGTGGGCTGGGAGACTACCAGGTTGACCCTAGAAACGGCCAATGTGAGACGGTCATTCAAAAGGGTTAATCCCTGCAAAGCTCCAAGGCAGTACAGTATGCCCTCAGGGTGTGCGCTGATCAACTGTCAGAGGTGTTCACCAGCATCTTCAACCTCTCCCTAAGTCAGTCCCTCGTCCCCACTCCCTTCAAGGCATCCAATATCATTCCTGTCTCAAAGAAACCAGCCCTGTTACATCATGAAGTGCTTTTAGTGACTAGTCGAAACCCACATCTCTCTTCAGTTTGTATACAGACCAAACAGGGCCACAGATGACACAATCGCTTTGGTGACAAACACTGCTGTTACCCACCTGGACAAAGGGAATACATATGTGAAAATGCTCTTCATTGACTACAAGTCAGCATTCAATACCATCATCCCCTACAAATTTGTCTCTAGGCTCATTGCTCTTGGACTGGAGACCTCCATCTGCAGCTGGATATTCGACTTCCTGAAGGGAAGGCCCCAGGTGGTGAGAATCAACAGCCATACCTCCTACCTGCTGTTCCTCAACACTGGCACACTGTGTGCTCAGCCCCCTCCTGTACTTCCTGTTCACTTACAACAGTGCTGGAAAGCACAGCTCCAAGATCATCATTAAGTGTGTGGACGACACAGCCATCCTGGGCCTCATCACAGACAACAACAAGACGGCCTACAGAGAGGAGGTGAAGTCACTGACCAGCTGGTGCCAGGACAACAACCTCTCACCGTCAGTAAAACTAAAGAGGTGATCATGGACTGGACTGCATGAGACAGTTGGGGGAAGAACATCTTTCCATCCACACTGGTGGTGCAGATGCCAAAAGGCTCAGCAGCTTCAAGTTTCTCAGTGTACACATCAACAAGGGCCTCTCCTGGACACTACATGCGTACAAGAAAGCTCATCAGCGACTTTATTTCCTGAGGAGACTGAGGAAGTTTGCCAAGAACACCATTCTCCTCGCAAAGTTCTACAGGTGTACCATCAAGAACTTGCTGATAGGCATCACAGTCTGGTACGGGAACTGCTCTACCCACAGCCGCTAATCACTATAGAGAGCGGTGGAGGCAGCAAAGCACATCACTGACAACAAACTCTCAGCCATTCAGGATATCTTCCAACAGCTGTGCTTGCGGAGGGCACACAACATCATCAAGGACTACAGCCACCCAGTACGCAGGCTGTTCTCCTTGTTACCGCCTGGCAGATGATACATAAGCATGGCTGCATATACCACCAGTTCTAACTACCAGTCCACCATGCTCCTCAAATCATATTCTAAATATTCCTGTCTGCACTGTCTACTGATCACTGCACTGTTTACCTAAAAATGCACTAGCAACCATGACTGCTCCTACATTATACCTAATGTTCCACATTATTGTATACACTCGTCACTTTTACTTTTTCCACACTTATCCGCATTTTCATATATGTTAATAGCTTAACATTCTATTTATATATCTTACTCCATTTTTATTTTTTAATATGTTTTGACTAGTGCACTTATTGCTGACTTGTTCTCTTATTCAACACATTTCCTTGACCTTGTGCTAACCTACCCTATCGCTGCTGTAGGAAAAAAACCTTGTATCTTCGAAAAGGTAACTTTACAGGACAAGGGAAAACATTCTTAACCTTTAAAAGAACTGTAGAAATATTTTTTCCAAGTAATTTTGGAGCATTTCCGTTGGTCCATTCATCATGAAATTTTGACACAACATAAGGGTCAACTGCCTTTTTTATATGATGTCAAAAAATGAAAAATGACAAAAATGCAGATACAAGATTTGGTCCCGACAGCAGCGATATGAATAATAAACTGAACTGAACTATTCAGCATATGGGTCCCTTTACAATTAAACATGTGGAAGAGAGCAGATGAAGTACGAGTTACTTACTAGTGTGATGAGAGAGAGAAAAATGAAAGCTTACAAGAACTACAGTCGTATGCAAAACACCCCAATCAATATCTATGTTTTGTTGATATTCTAAGTAAAAAAACAGTTAATACATCCTCCACAGACAATACACTTAAATATGGCATTTTTCTACACATTTTACTGCATGATTTCTATTTATTTGAATATAACATATTACAATAAAAGAAAATATTAAATATAAAATATGCCATAACTTTTGTGCAGGCCCCTTTTTTACGTTTAGTTTTTTTTTTTTTCCTCCAAGATGTTAAATGAACAATAATTGTGTATTAAAATGTACAGACATTTGTTCTCTGTAGAAGATGTGTTAACTGATCTTCACGTCAACTAACCATCGAAAATATCATCAAAATATGTCATTTGACCAGGGACACCCAAGCTTTTGCATACAACTGTAAGCTGGACTGATTACTAAGTCATACAAGTGCTTCCAACCAACTACCATCACAAGTTAAATTTAAATTAAGTTAAATTAATCATTCAGTAAAAAATTATTTTATACAATCTCCCCCTTGCTCTAAATGTAGCGGATTGACCAAATCATGTTTAGTGTCCAAGGGTCGCATTTTTTGTTTTGAACTTAAACCACAAGATTAATTATAGCTAATAAGTAATGAAACTGCAAACTGCACATCTAAATCATCATATAATCATCTCAACTGAGTTGTTAAGTAACCTCAAATACATTTTTATAGATAATAGCATGCCATACAGTGTCAGAAACCACATAAGCAAATCAATTTAAGATTACTTAACGTGTCACAGTTTGAGGCAAGCTTGTGATGATTCAGGTATGCAGCTTACAAGATGCTAACTGGTGAGGTGTAAGCTTCCACTACTCGCTAGCTACATTAGTCTCCAGTGCAAAACTAAATAAGTTTGGAGACCACACATCTTGGTTGACCAGTTACATTTGCGGTAAGTGGAAAACTGTATGAACCTGATTTTTTGCCAAAACGTTCACTTTAGTATTCCTTCCATTATCAGTGAACCATGACGCATCACATCTGACTTCCCTTAGATGACCTAAAAAGAGGCAGTAAGAAGTGGTAGCTCCTAAAAGACCAGCTTATTCTTCTTGAGTATTATAATGCAGCATCCTGGAGTCGAATGCTGAGATGTACTTTACACCATATAAAACCAGTACATAAGGGGAGAAATTTAAAACAACTCAAATCCTCCTTTTCAATAAACCAATAATAAATGAATAAACTGCAATATAATGTCTAAATACAAAAAAACTAAATGCAATAAATTACTTAAAGTAAGACATTTGTTATATCTGAAATAAAGTGGGGGAAACCTGAGTTAAGACGTCAAGTCAGTATATGTCTTGTCACATGCCATGAAAACTCACATCAAAGTCAGGGTCAAAACAAAGCTGCTGTCTGTCACACAACATGGATGATGTTGCTTGTCTGACTTAATTAAAACACAGAATAATTACTAAAGATGGCACAATGCCACTTTTTCTTTTCTGTTACTGATTCTGAAACCTTAAGTGTCGGCCAATACTGACAGCAATCCGATATTTCTTACCTTAAAAACATCTAAGATTTAAAAAGAGATATTTTTAATTGAAGCACTCTTCATCTTCAAACTACTCAAACTGTTTACTACCCCTTTCATTACATCATTACAGGACAGGATCAGATTCAAGCTTTTTCCCTTTGATATCCCATCCAACATTTTCTGGTCCAATACAGTTACCCGGTATTTGATCAGTGCCATGTCTAATAATTACCTTTTAAATTTTTAGGGTTAGTTGTAATTATGTTTTTCATTTGATTTTTGATTTCCCATTCAATAAAAGTTCATTTCATCTCTTCTGGTCACAGTGCCAGTCCACATCCACACACACAGCCACTAGTAAAGTCCAGCTTGTGTATGAGTAAACGTGTGGGGTATTTGGGAGACAGTGCAGTAAGCGTATAACGCGCTGATCTTTGGGCTCATTATATGGCTGGCTGCTTTCCCCATCGATTGCAAGGCAAGGCAGCGTCGAGAAGAGAACATTAAGGGGGTGAGGGATTTCCTATCACAGATGAGTCATAGTCTCTCCCAGATGAAAGGAGCGTAACTAGGACTGCGCTGCATTCACTCATGCAGCATGCAGAGCCATGAAATCCCCACCTTCACACAAAACAACAAACCGCCCCACTATGAATGAGAGGCTGGAGGCTTATGCGTGTTACATATTTGCATGTACGTCTAGTGGGTGTCCACCACTGTCAACATTGATTCACAACACTTTACTAATAAACTAATACTTTGGCCAAATGAAAGCCTGCACTTAAATGTATTCAGCATATTAAGACACTGTGTCCTGATTCCTAAATAAATAAGAAAAAGCACATGTATAGAGAATAGGGGTGGGCAATATAATGATATTTTATTGATATTGTGATAAATAATGTCCCAAGCATACTATGGATATCGTCAGTACCTAAACAACACTGAGAAACTGCATGCTTTACTATGAAGAGAGCACAATGAGTCTTGTTTAAATAGATTTAATGCAATGCAGCATGTAAAACGTGAATAAAAAATATTGTAACGTTGCTCAGTTTTGGAAAAGTATTTTTTCAACGATGCATTTTTGTTTGTTTGTTTTCGAACGTAGGAAATCAAAATATTTTATATTTTTTCCATATCTCCCAGCCCTAATAGTGAGCATATATTATGATATAATAGAGCATAATTGTGGATTACTGTTGAAAGGCTATGCATCAGGCTAACCTACCTAAAGACCGAGCAGTTCACAGTCACGAATGCCTACTGATAAGACTCAGCGGGCAAGTTAGGCACGAACATGTTTGCGTAGGGAGAAGTGGACATTAAACTGTAAAAAAACTGTCTGCTGTTGTATCTACCTTTCAGCGTGGCTATATTGACAGCATTAAGGGCGATAACTGGATAACTGGTCGATTCCTCACTGATGCTTTGAGGAAACGGAACAGGACGGATGAGAGGAGAAATGGCTCAACGTCTACAAGCAACGTCGACATCATCAAAACATCGAAACACTCGGGCTGACCGCTGTAAAAGTTCAGTCAGACAAAGTGAGAACCAGTCACAGAAACGAGTGAACTACCTGTTTTGCCAGCCTTGCAGCAAATTCGTGTATTTGTTGAGAACTCCCTCCAACTGCCGCTTGTGGCTTTGGGACGGGCTCCCGCTTCCACGTCCGGGACTAGGAGAGCTGCTCCTGGCCGCCCTCGGTGAGCTGTTCCCCGGCCTCGCTGTGGGCTTCCCCCGCTCCGCTACACTCCTACTGCTCCCGCAACGCGACACTCCACATGCTCTCTCCATTGCTCCAAGCTCACAGTTACACGACGAGACGACTCAAAACTGACATTGCGATTTCAAAAACAAACCAACAGGAGAGTCCAGGGGAAAAGCAGCTGCTGGACGGCAACGCGCTGCAGAGTAGAGGCTCGTCTGTGATTGTTTCGTGTTGTGTGGGACTCCCTCAGTCTTTCCAGTGGAATGGCTGAGCTGGAGCTGAGAGGACGTTTCAGCCCCGCCCCCTCCTCCACTACACCCACAGCCTCAGCTCTGCTCAGCGCTCAAGAAACCCGAGTCTTCACAAGTTTTAATCTCATGGAATTAAACAATATATCTTCTTGATGTGAACTGAAACACTGGTTATACGTTTGGGCTACTGCTGCTTTCCAAGGATGTAGGATAATGTAAAAGACTTTCTCATAGAACACATGAAATATGCATATGGTGATTTGTGGAAAAGTGGGAGATTTTTAGTCACTTTGCTTGCTGTAGGCCTAATTTCTGAGCATTCCTTGTATTGCATTTTTATTTAAATTTTTTATTTGTTTCTTTACTAAAGGTATGTCTTCTTATGGTAGTCTTCTTTATTGTAGGGATTATGACCCTTACTAAAGAAAATCTACAGTAATACTACAGGCATTACTACAGGATTTTTATAAAAACCTTACTGTAAATTCGGACAATCACGATATTATACTATAGTATAAGACGGCACCTCAGAAATATCATTGGTGATGAACACACAGCTATTCTACTTAGAACTGCACATTTTTGCACAAGCCACACTTGTGCATATTTATTGAGTTGAGTTGTGTTGTATTTATTGTTGTTGCTGTTGTTGTTTACAGTTGTGGATGTCTGTGTTGTTGTCAGTATTTTATTACACTGTGTGGTATATTTGCATGTCATGTGGTCATATTTCTTTCTACCTTGTAATGCGTGGTCAGAAAGAAATAAGACTATGCAAAATTATGTGTGTTCATTGTATACTTGTCTGTGGTTGTGATGACAAAGTTCTTTTTGATCGTGACTATCATAGTAATTATATAACACTGTAGAAAAAGGTATTACTAAAGACTCTTTTTGTAAGGGGAGACATACTTCATCACAAACTTTTAAACAAAATTCTAAGAGTGTAATAACAGTATCAGGGTATGATACTGGCATTACACCAGTACCATACTCTATGTAAACATTTACTTTTAAAATGAGTGTGAAAGGGTTTTAAGAGAACAAGGAGAAAGCGGAAGTTGTTGCAAACTATTTCTTTTCAACTATAATTGAATTCAACTTTAAGTCAAACCACTCTCTCTCCATCCACCCACACACACAACAAGCTAAATATATTACCACTCTATAAAAGCTTACATGAAGGCTCATCACATAAAGACACCCTAGAGAAATAGTGCAGGTACTGCAGGCAAAGTAGCATGACTCATTGGCTATTTGGACTAGGGGTCAATTTAAAAATGTGGGTTTGTATGAATGAGGAAAAATATAAAGAAAAAACAGCTTGTGACTAAACTTTATGTTTAGCATCTTATTTTTTCTTTTTGTTATTTTTCTTGTTGTTATTTGATTTAGTCTTTTAGTCTATAAGCACCTAGGGTATACATCATGGCAAATGTTAAAAATATGAATTTTAATGTTTGCCTTCTTGATATATATATATATATATATATATATATATATATATATATATATATATATATATATATACACACACACACATATGCTATAGCTTGCTTTTATAGCATGATTCACATCAGCGTTCAGTTTAGGGTTGATTTTTAACCCACAATGTTATGACACGTCCCACAAAATCCGGCGAAAAAAAACTACAACTCCCGATATGCTTTGCCTGAATCACGTTGATGACGCAACTTCAAGTGGCCGAGCACGTTCAATCCCACTCTCTCCCCCCGATAAGCAAGTACAAAGCCGGTTTTGCGCTTAGTATCTGCTTCAGTATTTTCTCTTTTTAGTAGGAAATATTTGCTATGGCTGCACCGCTGAAAGTTTGTATCGTAGGGTCAGGAAACTGGTGAGTACAGAGCGTCTGTCTGCAGATGGAGTCCCTCTCTATCACACCGTACCACTGAGACCACACTTGCATAGCTAGCACTGGAGAACATGCGTCTACTCTTGTACTCTTGTCTCGGTTAAAGAAACGCTAACTTGGACTGAGTGTTGCAGATCTTGTTTTTTCATCCTAAGTCATACTGTTTTCTGTTAGGTATAAAGACCACACCTTCTGCAACGCTTCAGACTCTGACCAATCAACTTGCAGAAAGAGAGAGAAAGGCGGTTATATTCAGTGTTGTCTTTGAGAGCTGCATTAATTACCCTGTCTAAATGCAAAAAAGAACAATGCATTCGTATTTGGAGGAGATGGCATTAATCTATTCCTGCATTTAGGGGCTCTGCAATTGCAAGGATCATTGGCAACAATGTACAGAAAATCCAGCGCTTTGCCACCACAGTCAAGATGTGGGTGTATGAGGAAAATGTAAACGGTAGGAAGCTAACTGACATCATCAACACAGACCATGAAAACGTCAAATACCTCCCAGGTTACAAACTTCCAGACAATGTGGTAAGAGTCCAATGTTATTTCCATTCAAAAGTTTCAGTCTTATGATAGTCCTGCTATTTTAGATTGTTCTATAATCACATCAAGTGTAACTGTAAATGTAACTGAGCTCTTGGCTGATCAATATATGCTGTAATGGGATATGGCTTACTGCAGAAGTATTAAGGAGTAACCCTCTTAATGGCACTCTGTCTGCAGGTTGCAGTGCCTCAGCTGCGAGATGCTGCTGAAGGAGCAGACTTACTGGTCTTTGTGGTGCCACATCAGTTTATCCGAAAGCTGTGTGATGAGATGGCGGGCTGTGTTTCTCGGAAGGCCCGTGGAATTACTCTCATTAAGGTGAAGAACATATCCTACTGCAAATGTTATGCCCTATTTGGACATTTTTAGTGGAACATTCATTAAATTGTGGAGAAGACATCATAATTTTGTATTTTAAAGGCTTAGATGTAAGGCTGTTTTCATCCAGTGTTTAACAGGTATAGGGCAGACTAGAAGAGCCTCATTGGCTCTCCAGAAAAAGACTGGCCAGACACACCAGACACCCTTTCCTTTGAAGTGACAAGTGCTCAGGAAGCACCTGATGCCTCATGCACATCATGTCCTGTTGAAACTACAAGGAAATGTCTATCAAATTAGTATGAAAACAAAAGACCATATGGTTTTTCTAAAATGATTATAAAAGAAGCAGTGTGAATGGATTTCACAAGGTTTAAACGTCTGAAAGTTAAAATGTCTGATAATTTTGTCATGAGCATTCTCTTTCATTGTTATTGTCAGTTTGTCTCTCTTTATGCTTTCCTCTGTATGTTCCTGAGCTATCATATTTGACTCAGTCTGAACTGAGGAATGGTGTAGGAAGATTTGGCTGTGTGTCTGTTTGGGGCTTGTTGAGAGTGCACCATATGTGAGCACCACTCATGAGTATCAAGTAGGGACTTCTGGCTGCCTGGCAAGCTGCTTGTTCTCTGTTCTCTGTTTATTATTTTTTTTTAGCCTTGGTTTCTCTCTCCTTGTTACTCTCTGCTTGTCTTTGCTCATTGTTTTTTTCAGTCACCATGTGCTGTTGGTGAAGATATGACATTTTTCTGTTGACCATGACATATCTTTTGTTTTGTTAAGGTTTCTGCTTTCCTAGCTTTTGGTTGGTCATAATCATTTTCTTCCCAGTTCTCATTTGCGTTTTCCGCTGTCATGCTTTATTATTTTCTTGCTCTGATGGTCCTCCTTATTTCACGAGTCATTAGGCTAAGAGCTCCTTCAAGATGTTCTTCTGAACAGCTGTAGTTTCTGACTTAACCCCTCTGCGACGTCCGGAGCTATATTTGGAAAAAATACAAACCTCCTTTTAATAAACCTTTTAATCTTTTATTCTTTTTAGGGCATTGATGAGGGACCTGAGGGACTGAAACTAATCTCTGACATCATCAGGGAAAAGATGGGCATTGATGTCAGTGTTCTAATGGGGGCCAACATTGCTAATGAGGTGGCAGCTGAGAAGTTCTGTGAAACTACTATTGGTAAGAGAAGAACCTCAGTTACCAAGTTTTACTTAGAATGACCTGGTCCAGTGCTCCACCTCAGTGTAATTAACCTTGCTTTTTTGTGGGATAGAGTACTTCTTCAAACATAAAGCAAACCATTTCATTTGAATTACTTGAATGTAATTTATAAACAGTGGGAAGCAAAAGTCTGATACCACTAATGAAAAGGCTTCTATTTTCCATTCTTACTTAACTTAATACAACGTTACAAATTATATTATCAGTATTATCACAATTTGAGTGAAAAGTAGAATCTATGAAACACTTGCATGAATTTCAGAATTTTGTAGTGTTTGCCTCCCTTTTGATTTAATGACAGTGTGTACTCAAGCTGATGTGGACTGTGATCACCAACAGTGACAAAAGTCTCTGATAAGCAGATCAGATCCACCTGAGAGTCGTCTGAACGTGAGTTTTAATAGAAGGAATAAGACTAAAAAAAACTCTTGGTCAGTGTCACATATTTGCTTAAATTTGAATAGTGACCTAGAAACAGTGCAGGATGCTGAACGTTTCTTCTTCAAAATCTTTCTAAAAATGCAGACACTAGGGAGGGATCACATTGCAGTTTTTCTGAAGGCTAAAAAACGTGAGGTGCACTGCACAGCCTTTTTTATTGGGGTTCACACTGCGATTTTTGAAGGGTGCTTCTGGCTGTGAGTCTGCACATTGCTAAGCAACAGTAGTATCATAACGTATCTTTTAAGGATGCACATGCAGAATGCTCTGGTACTTCTCCTTTTAGAAAGTGGTCTGCTATTAACTACCAACTGTGTCGCAGCTAGCGCCATAGCAAACAAGCTAAAAGCGCCTTTTTGTTGATTTAATGCTAACTTTGATTTGTGAAATCAAACAAGTCAGGGTACTTTGTGACTGCAACTGTCATTGAAGGCCTGCATTCCTTTTGATTTGATTGATAAACAAAAAAAATGCTTGTGATGTTGACTGCTTAAAGCTGAACTTTTCCTTTAGCTTGGAGCACCTGGAGTGCGCCTCACAAAAGACAAGGTGCATAAAACACTAGGCACCCAGCCAGCAAAACACATCACTCCCTTTAAAACAATAGGAAAAAGATGCTTCCATTCTGAAAGAAATGAACAGTGTAAACCCCTTTTAAACACCTCAGTATGTAACAGCTTGCAATTACTAGTGAGAAGGAAATATCTCAGTGACCAATACAAGTAAACAGTGTCGGATATTGTTGTTTGTGCTGATCTACAGGGAGCAGGGTCTTGGAGAATGGACTACTTTTCAAAGAACTTCTGCAGACACCCAACTTCCGCATCACTGTTGTGGATGATGCTGACACGGTGGAGCTGTGTGGAGCCCTGAAAGTAAATATTAGTCATGCCTCATTTGCTGCTTTCCCAGGAGAAATCTTTCTAAGCCAGCAGGCCTCTAAAAGCAGAGCATCTGAGCTGGTGCCCATGTGGCTCATACTGCTGTTACACCCATTAAAATGCTAAATCTAGTACAGATAGTTTAGAAAGCAGTCTTAATTATTCCATCTAGTCTGTACTTTCAGTTTCATAGTTATTTTGCTCTTTAAAATACCTAGAATATTGTCTATACTAAATTAGGAATAAACATTGCTATATATTTTAATAAACAGCTTTATTTGGTGCTTGCTGTGATCATATTACATTAAAAAATTAAGTCTGTTACCTTTGTCTCTTGTTCCTGCAGGAACACTGGAGTCTCAAAACTGGTTATATAACTGTGTGATTGTATTTTAGACATTTCCTTTTTACTTTCAAAACCTCCCAACTCTCTATTTCCAGAACATTGTGGCAGTGGGTGCTGGCTTCTGTGATGGCCTGCAGTGTGGAGACAATACCAAGGCAGCTGTAATCAGGCTGGGACTGATGGAGATGATTGCGTTTGCCAAACTCTTCAGTAAAGACGATTCAGTGTCCTCCGCCACCTTCCTGGAAAGCTGTGGAGTAGCCGACCTCATCACCACTTGCTATGGTGGACGCAACCGCCGTGTGGCAGAGGCCTTCGTCAAGACTGGCAAGGTCAGAAGCAATACTTGATCATGTCTTGTCATTGAATCTTATTTAACATTTAACAAGTGTTACATTTTAGATATTTGTGCTGATCTTGAGATTTATTAGATTATGAATTTCCTTTTAGAGCATAGAGGAACTAGAGAAAGAGATGCTGAATGGCCAGAAGCTTCAAGGGCCCCTGACCTCTGCTGAAGTTTACCATATTCTCAAACAGAAGGGCCTTGTTGATAAGTGAGTGCATCTATTTTACACTGTGAGATTCAAATTTTTACCAAGTTGAAAAAAAGCATGGCACATATTTAGGCACATATAAAAAATGATGTAAGATACAGCCCACATACATTGTTTCATTCCAACACTGGTACACAAGAACAATTGAAGCTACACTATGTACATTTTGGGGATGTCCTCTCTGGTGGAAATTGCATGCATGCATGTGCAGACGAATATTTTGTAATGTCGCTTGTTATTTGGACTATTTCCGCGAACAAATGATTGCCAGTGCATTGAAAGAGTATTTAAAGAAAACTCAGTCAAAACTTGGTGAAGAATGTAGCTTCTGAAGTGAATTATCTACTGTTGTCGTCATATCTTCAACAGAGACCCAGACACCCAGCCAGACCTTCTTTTTGAGCCTGTACATGTGACATTAGCGAATCGTCCGAAAACCTTTTGTGAAATCCGACCCGACACTTCTGACTTTTAAATGATTTTTCAGGCTTTATCAGGCAACTCACAGTAGCCCACACAGACCATATTTTTGTGTGTTCTGTCTTTCAGTAATGCTGTTTATATCAATTTTAGCCAAAAATTGCTGTTTTAAACAAACAAAAACAAGAGCCAACTTTAAAATGTAGTGGATAAAAATATACCTGTTTCCATATGTACCTTCCTTGTAGCTACACTCATTAGCTGCTGCACCTGATGTACTTGTGAGTAGCAACAGATGGCTACAGTCAGTAATTTTGTACCTATAGAGTGCACCTAGATGGTTGAGCTACGTGCTAAAATGAGTACTGGTAAAAGGCAACTATTACATTTTGTACTTAAATATTTAAGTGTGATCTTTCTGTGCAAACTTTACCTTGTGTCCTAGGTTCCCCTTGTTCACGGCAGTGTATCAGATCTGCTTTGAGGGAAAACCAGTTCAGGATATGATCTGCTGCCTGCAGAGTCATCCAGAACACCTCTGAGAGCCTCTCAGAGATCTGCAGTCATGGTGGCTTCACCACCTTGACCACCAGCGCCTCTGCCTTCTCTCCTATGAGTAGCCTTGTCTCTCTCTCTTCCTCAGCGTTACGTACTCCATATTGAAACCCTCACTCCGGCCTTCCGATCTCCTTTGGCCCAACACTACTCCTACACTGGGGTGTTGTTCTCAGGGTTAAGTTATGAACAGGTCAGGCAGTGGCGAAATAATATATATAGTTGTTAGTTGTGTTAACATTGACTCACTAAGTTCACTAAGTACATGAATAATTTAGAGATATCTTCTAGATGGAGCATGAAGCCATACATGATATCTACTCTTGCATTGTATTTTTTTTTTTTTTCTTCAATCTTACTCTCTTTTGACTGCCCTCTTGTGGAGGGTTTATAATAACTACTGTATGAAAGATGGGAAGAACTTTAACCTTAAATGCCTCTTTTTTAATCACCACTAACAAAGCTAATGTCATATCATTTTTTCCTTCACAGCCTTGCAAATTAAAGCTGCCTAATGCAGTCTTTGTCCAGCAGGTAGTGATAACGAGCAGTTGTGGGTCAGATCCAGTGACTGTCACATTTTCCTATGTTCTGCTGAAGGCAGGGCAAGTTTGCTGCTGACACGCTCACTGGAGAAGACATTTTACACAGAAATATGCAACTTTTGGGGACCATTTTGTTGCTCAGCACATACTTTTTTCCCCTTTCTGGTCAAAGACTTTATTAGACAAGTTTAATACAGATACCCATATCACTCTACTCTGACATCCCTGTTGAACCAGCAGTATAAGATTTACCTAGACATTTTTAACCTTTTTAACATTTTTAAACTTTTTTGAAGAGCCTCAATTACTTTTACATGTTATTATATTAAAGGGGGCATTTATAATTTCTTTTAATCATACTATTTTTACCACTTTTTTCAGTGTTAAATAGACACTGCCATGTACACTACCTTTCTTCAGTTACTCTAGCAAAGGTTGAGAGAGACACATAAAGTAAAAGGGGTCAAAGTAGCTTACAAAAGAAATTAGTCCAACAAGATAAACATTTTAAGATGCCTTTAAAGCTCTTTTAAACGCTCTCCAAATAGTATTCGAGAATGGTCTGCTTGGAAAAAAATAGCTTTGATTTCTGTCATTAGTTGGTTGTCACTATAGCTCTCTGTATGTGGTATCCTCTGTTGCTCAGAAAGGGGCTAATGTTTGGTCAGTTTTGCGTTCTGCACATTATTTTAGGAAGCAAGGGAATATAGCTGTGGTTAAGTACACAATATCCGTCTTGAATTATGCTTTTTTTTGTGAGAAATGGTCAAAAATGTAATTGATCTAAAAATATTTGAGCTGGTTGTAAGACGTTACAAAATCTAGTGCGCACAAATAGATGAACACAACTAAACACCGTGTCATAGTCCTAGTACTTGATCAGCTACAGACATTGACTGATAAGTTTCTTAGTTTATAACAAGAAAGGGTTATTAATTTTCACCTGATCATGTTACTTTTTAACAACTTACAAATGAAGGGTTTCATTCCAGAACGCATTATGTCACTTTGTTGAATATTTTTTCATGATCTACATTGTTGGAAGTGAGGAAATATTAATGCTATATTATGAAGAACATTTCCTTTATTAGAGAAAAAGTCATGTCAGCTGTTACTCTTTTCAAACCTCTTCTTTACAAATAGATATACAGCATTTTGGGATAAAACTCTTCAAATTATCTGCACTTTGGTTTGATTTCAGTGTTATTTTAGTTTTAATACTTTGTGGCATAAACCTGATTTGAAACACTTTTTTCCCTTCAGGTTTATCCCCCCAAGGTCTGTGTATTATTTTCATACAGCTTTGTCTTCAGTCTACTGTGAAGCAAAATTTGTTTTCTGTCTTTTGAGTGACTATTAGGATAATCAAAGAACAGCACAGATATTTGCTCAGAGATGCTCACAAATATTTCAACACATGTAATAGCATAGTCAGAGCCAGTTAGATGTGTCTGTGTTATGTTTCCTATGCTCTGACTTCTCCTCACCCTACAGTTTTAATAGTAGTGTTTCTAGCTAGTTAATCTAAAGGTGTTAGACTTCAGTCTCTCCCTTTAGTGACTTGGTCCATGTAGCAGAGGTGTTGACTGACATAATGTACAGGTTGCTTTGTGTTGCCTTTTACGTAGCTTTTAAATCAAACCATCTTGTATTGCGTTGTCTATGTGAAAGTCAGGTTTTCTGTCCAGGTAATGTGATGTCATATGTTTATGAAGATGAAAAGTGGAATGAGTGTTGCTTGGGAGAGTAAACATTCACATTTAACATAACATTGTGTAGTTTGACTTTTTAATAAAGTTTACATAGAAAAGCATAATTAACATGCTTTACATGGTTGTAAGACTCATTCATTTGAAATGAAAATGTAGGTAATCTAAAGCAGTGTTTCAACCCTGGTCTATTAGGCACACTGCCCTGCGCATTATTGCTTTCCCTGCTTTGACTCCTCACTTCAGCTCAGTAAGTTGTTAACATGCTGATCAGTTGGATCAGGTGTGTTGGGAGCATGGAAAACACTCAAATGTGCAGGATAGTGTGCTTCCAAGACCAGGGTTGGGAAACACTGACGTAAAGACACATGAATGAGAGATATTGAAATAGTTACCATTTTTATTAAAAGGTAAACCATAATAAGCAATCCACAGATCTTGAGAACAAAAATAAAGCATACATTAAAAAGAAAGACAGCTCCCTTATAGAAGCTATACAAGTTTGTACATCTGCTGTTAGCAGAACAATTTCATTTGTCTACTGCAGCACGCACATCCCGCTTCAGTACACTGACCTCACTGAAAGCCCCTAAATTTATTGTTCTAGCTGATCTTGTTTACAATTCACCTTTTTGCTTTTACCTTTCTAGTTTTAAATAATGATGTGATGCATAAATTCCATCCATGTTAAAAATGTATCAAAACGTTTGGTAAGGAATTGACAAATACACAACATTATGCATGTTGATGAAGAGAAAATGTCTTACAAATGTTACCATTTTGAGGGGGTATATATATTTCCTATCACTATCATTCTAACACATTCATCTGATGCTCCTTACGTGAAAATGATCCTGCAGAAATTCAGAGACTTTCAGAACAAAACAGTATAAAGCACAAGTAATAAAAACCTAATGTACAGTGACTGTTCTATGAACAAATCACATATACTTTAGTTGTTAAGCTGGCTTCCAAAAGCCTCCATTATTAGGTTGTAGTTAAAAGAATTTGGAGTACCTTAAGATCACAACTGTAAATCATACATACAATAATTAATATGTTGGTTTTACCGTTGTGATACTTAGAAGAAACTCAGCCCAAACCAAGTTCAGTATAGCCTGATGCAAGACAGAATGCATCAGTCTTCCTCATCTTCATCATCACCAAACGACAGTAGACTGTTGTTCTTCACTTTCACTCCAGACTTTGTATCTTTCTTCATCTCCTCACTCTCACTCTTCTTTTTCTTCTTGCTAGAGCTAGCTGTAATGCCTTCAAACTTGTCAGAGGAGCGTTTTACAGGTTTCTTGAATATAATTTTCCCATCAGCAGGTGGTTCCTCATCTGGTGGAGATGTAAGAATATTTTAGTAATGTCTGTGCTCAAGTAATAAATGATTGCTGCATTGATTACAGTACATTACTTTAAATAAGTGATCTCCAACCCTGGTCCTGCAGAGCCTAGTTTCAACCACAATTTGCCATACCTGCTCTAGCTTATCAACCTCCTCCCAAGTCCCAAACTAGCTGGATCAGACTTCTTAGACCAGACATGTCAAGCATTTAGCGTTTACCATCATCTAACGCTCTGAATTCAGTTCATGAAGGCCTTGCTAATTAGCTGATGAACTGAATCAGGTTTGTTTAATGAGGCAGTATGCTGAAGTCTGCAGTGTTTTTGGCCCACAAGGACTGGAGCCTGACACATGTATTAGAGTTAAGTAAGAGGCAGGGCAGCACTGTCAATAGAATGAGACATTCTGGTTCTGGGGCAACTGCACATGAGCCTAAGGTCACCATGCCCAGTGCCAAGTGCACCAACCAGTACCTCTGGGAGGAGTTGAAGAGTTGTTTAATTCTGGACCACAATCATCCAGTATCAGTACCTGAGTTCATTAATGCTTCTATGTCTGAATGCAATCATATCCTCACAGCTATGTTACTTGTCGTGAAAGTCTTCCCTGAAGAGTAGAGGCTGTTACTGCAGCAGAGGATACAAACTCCCTTTTAATACCCTTTATTTTAGAAGAAATGTTGGACGAGTAAGGTGCCTACAAACTTTTAGACATGTAGGGGTCTCCAAACCTGGTCCTGGAGACATTCCAGCAGAGTTTAGTTCCAAGCTGCCCCGTCCTTTATTTATCTCTAACACATCCGGACTTGGAAACAGGCTGATTAGCTGGTGTGGTAAACTGTAGTTGGAACTAGGATCTACAGGAAGGTAGCTCTCAGTAAAAGAGTTGGAGACCACTGGTGCACATGCGTGAATCCTTGCCCCCTGCACACAGAAGGTCCTGGAGCAGGTCCAGTGGTATATAAAATATGGAAGTGCTGCTTGTTTCCCAGTCCCTAATAACTGTTCCAGGTGTAGCTAACAAATATAACTTAACTAAAGATAAGCTTTCTCATAATAAACGTTACCTGACAAATTTGTTCTGTTCCAGCTGGGAAAACTAACGTTAGCCTGGGATGTGCAGAAACACTCCAGCGCTACCACTGTGCTCTAGCTCTTTGGATTTCCTCTTATTCTTTAGCACAAATACAGCGTCACCGTGTAACGTTACCTTTCTTGGAGTCTTTAGATTCTTTTTTGATTTGCATGACCTCTTCTGCGCTCAGGTCTCCCTTCTTTAGGACCACAACTTGTGGCATTTCATCCTCCCGGTCACTGTCACCGCTGTCCTCATCACAGGTCGGCATCTGCAGTTTCTGTAACGAAACGGTCATGAATTAAAGGCCAACTCGGCTACAGTGAAACGCACTAAAGCTAAAAACACAAACAGCTTTCTTAACAGCAGCAGCGCCAGTGCTGGTTACCTTTGTCTCAACCGTTGGTCCTTCTTTGTAACCAACGTCGGTCTTGAATTTCTTCAGAAAGGAGGGCTCAGTCGGCTTCACCCACGACACGTTACCTTTTTTATTCATTGTTTAAGCCACAAAATCTGATCTAGACAAAAAAAACTGCTAACGTAGCTCCGAGTTTACATCCAAAATGGGGAAAAATCGGCCGTTCGTCTGACGTCATCAACACTCGCCAATCCCAGGATGCATTTGCCTTGTTTACGTTTTTCCATTCATAGCCATTTTACACAGAGCGGAAAGAGCTAGTTAGATTAACTAACTCTGTGTAAAAAGTAATAGTGGAAAAAAAACATGCTGCGCTGCGGCTCGTCTCGGTGAACTCGGAGTGATGGCGAGTGGGAGTGTGTACGCGTCGCTGGCGGGCTTTCTCGGAGCGGCGGCGTCCTGCTCTGCTAAACTGTCCCTCGGCGCCGGTTATCTGAGAGCGCTGTGTGAGAGCGGACTGAGACGAGCCGTCGAGGAGAAGATCTTCACCACCGAGGAGCTCCACACTGCGGCTTGTGAATGGGTGAAACGAGGAGTTCCTCACTGTTTCGTTGCATTACACTTAGCTATGCTAAAGATGTGGGCTGCACACATTTAAAAAGAGTTCTTCAAGCGTCTTTAGTAAAAGGAATGGTTTTGTATAAATGATTATTTGCATGGTGAAACGGTCCTTCAGATTGACTTAAAATGTGTGTAGAAGGTTCTGTATAGAAGCCTTTTTGAAGGGTTCTTTCATTGTTGTAAGTGTGACATTGTAAGTTAATAGCAGAACCCTTGTTTGTGTTATGTGTAGAACTATATAACTAAGTTACAACGCATTCTGAGTCAATTTAAAGAGCCATTTCACCATGCAAAGAACCATTTAGGCATGGCATGGTTTTATATAAAACTCATGGTTCTAAACAGAAGCATTCCCTTTACTAAAGAACCCTGGAAGAACCATCTTTTTAAAGTATGTAGCAAGTGTGTCACATTCCGTATGATTTTCAATATGATATATTTAAAATCTTCAGTTTCGTAGAAACTCAGAAAGAAGTGTTTTAAAAGTCAGACACACTGTTTGAAGGACTGCAATAGACTTTAAAAGAACTGTAATATTTAACAGTGCTGATGTTATCCACAGCTGCACATTCCTCTGAGACTGCTGTGTGGACTCCTGCTCTTTATCTGCAATGCAGTAATGTGGACTTTCTTTGCCAAAGCTCTCAGACACTCCTCGTCCTCTGCCCGGGCTACCGTGACCACTACTGCTTCTAATTTCATCTCTTCTGTGAGGCCTCAGTCAGCACTACACACTGCAATAAGAAATCATAACGATTTAGTGAAGCCTTCATAAAACAGCTATATGTTGTAGCATTAACACATTTAGGTCACTTGATTTATAGACACACCAGAATATAACATATGAACAACAAATGAATACATATTTATATATGTATATGTAATATCCATCATATATAAATGATGTAATTCCATTTAACAAGCACTTACCCTTCGCTGCTTTCTTTAGGCATTTCTTGGACATGTAATCTTTGGGGAAAGCCATGCCTTGTTGTGGTGGGTTGGCATCTTCCTAACCTTACTGGGACTCTTTATATTGCATGGATCATCTCCACAGGACCAACAGTTGGATGTTAAAAAGGATGAATGATCTATCAGTTGTGTCAGCTATGGAGGACCAAAAATGGATACAAAAGCATGTGACACATAGAAGAGATGTAGGTGTTTACATTAAATTGGAATGTTAAACCTCAGTTTGCTCATCTGCAGATGTTCGAATCTAACATATATAATAAAATCTATCACTGGAAACATGTCCAGGAGCGAGGACATGGGACTTGGAGCGCCCATGGATTAGCATTATAGGTATTTACAGTTATTTTTGTTATTTTGGTGATTTTATATGAACGTATTTAATCATGTTTGTGTCTACACTTATGTAGAAGGCTGGGAATGTGGAAGAGGCATGGACTCTGTGTCTTACTGAAATGGTGTATAAAAAAATGCTGTATAGAACATTCTATACTTACACTGTTATCCTCTACAATAAAGCATACTTTTATACTTTAATGCATGTATTATGTAAGACTTGCTGTGTTGATGGTCTTCTACTGGTAATTCTATTACCTGTTTTAATTTGCACACATATTCTCAAGTGCATTTGCATATTAACAGGCTAGATGACTATAATTGCTATGCACTCTCAAACAGGACTAATTATTATAGCTGACATTTCCAGTCATCAAGGTCGAGCCATAGTAGTCACAGTTGTATTGTGCGCATTGGAAAAGTCTCCCCAAGCCCTCTTCATTCAAATGAAGCTGCACTGCACAAACATATTTGGAGTAAATGTTCCCTTTTTATTAAAGTGTGCTTCCCTTTTATTCACATTAAGTGGTTATTTTATATAAAAACACTACAATAACAATTTAAAAATTCAGGCCTTCATAAGAAAACACAGTTACATCAAGACTTTCATAGATATATTGTATAGACTCTAAAAGAAAGGAATGCCATCCCATGTAAAGTGAGATGGACCCAAAATAGGTCACTTAATGCATTGCCTCAAGTAGGAATGTTCAAGCCTAGTTATATTAATCTATACTGTCATTCAGTGATTTACTTAAACACTTTTAATTAGACATGCAGAGTACAGCTGGAGGCCATTTTCATTTTTCCAAACTTGTCCTCATCCTTTAATTCTTGAAATTTACTTTAGTAAAATTACCAAAGCTGTATGTATTATAATAAAGAAAAGGGACTGTGTTCATGTTTTATTTCTCTCTATATAACAAAGGTCCAACATCTAGGGATCCACGAACTAGCAAAAATACCCACTTATTGATTTAGTTAAACTAGGTCCATACTTGAGAAATATTGGTATTTTTGGTTGAAAAGATACTTTAAGGCACTTAATAAGGAATTGGAACAATTAAATACAGTACATAAAGTTTAGAGTAACCAAGTTCTATGAGCCAAATATTACAAAGAACTTGAGACACCATACTAATTTGTTCTTATTGCATAAAGGTCTTCATGGGTAACCAGTTATACTTGAGAAATTGAGTCCAGTTAGATGATTACCAGTTGAGTTAATTTAACTCAAAAACGTCAGTTATGGGGACACCATGAGCAGCGGACTGGACAACGGTCAGAACCTATCATAATGTCTCCCTAAAAGTGCCCCAGAGCCTCCACAAATGGCCAATATACCGTCAGTCAAGAAAACTGGCAAAGATAAAAGCTCTTCTTCTCTCTCCCTTGAGGTTATAATCAAAATAAAATTCTATATGTCAAGAACAGGCAATCTGTAGGAGTCCATACTATCTCCTACCATTCTGAGAGTTCAGTGCATAGTGGACTTTGGTCAGCATGGTTTTAGTGTTGTAAGGGGATCTCGATGATGTCTTCCTCTATGATTTCACCCTGGGGAGGTGCAGGGATGTTGGTTGAGCCATTCGTCCTGCATGAAAGGTCAGAAAAGGGGCTAAACCAGGCCAAAGAGAGAGGACCACCAAATGCTAACTTCATGGCTTCCCAGCATGGAGTCCTTTCCCATGTTGGATCTTCTCCCTTTAGCCGCTCAATACCCTGAAAGAAAAAGCAACATAACCATGTTGAGATGAGATGATCCAACCAAACAATTACTAGAAAACATAGCACATTACTAAAATGAAATTCCTTTGAATGCACTGGAAAATAAAGAAAACACAGTGTTACTATGGAGAAAGTGGGAAATGGGGAATAAATGAGTAATCTTGCACATGCATCCAGGTGCTGCAGGTATGCAGTTGCCCCTAAAGAGAGTCGTGGGCCTATCTCAACTACATGGCTTGATTGTCACCATACGGACGAATAAAAAGCACATCGTACATGCAGCATGCTTTCTTAATGTTCAGTCTACAACGAAATGAAAAAGTCTAGATTACAATGTCAGCATCAGCATGCATTCGGGCACCAAATCTAACAGCTGGTGGTGGAACTGCCGTTTTAGTCAGGAGTGATTAAGGCTTACCTCCATCTCACACCAATCAGACCGACATCAAGCCTAACTCAAAATGGCTTATATTTTAGTTCTATGTTTCAACATGTTTTACACTATTAAGTATACAATTAAACATAAAATAGATTTAAAATCAAACATCTAAAGTGGAAAAGAATAGAAAGAAATGGTTACCAAGACATAAGGAGATAAAGCATGTTAAGTGAGTCATTAGAATTTTGACTTCTTATAAGTACAGGGCAAACATTAGAATAAAGAAGTATCATCCTTTTTAAGAACTTTCTTAAAATCCTAGTTAAGACAGAAAAAACCTTGGTTTAACTCAAGATGCCCTGCTTGAAATTACATTTAGAAGTGGTCCAAAGTTCAGCAGTAGATTAGTAGTTAAAATTCTATTCTAAATTTACATTTGTCATAAAGCAATAAAATGTTCACCATCGTCATATACTACACATCCACCGTAAAAATTGGGTACGTTTTGGCTCATTCGTAATATAAAAAGCACCAATTTTAAGTGATAAAATCAAGCATATAAACTGTACATCACATTTATGGAACAATGAAACATAACCATGATGTGAACATTGTTAAACTAAATGAACATTATTGAGTTTAGAACCAGCACAGTACTTATTTAAAGTGCATCTACTTTCAGAATTACCCAGAAAGCTTTTCACTTGTTTCTTATCTACTGCATTTTGATTGCTAGCAACAAACTCAAATATGCTTCTCAAATATCCTTCCTCATACATACAGTGAAGGGAAATAAGTATTCAGACACTTTTCTTTTTGTTATTTAATTTACTTCCAGTGCATATATTAACTTTAAATGTAAGTATTATGAATGAGGAATTTTATTTTTATTTTCATTTCTTCCTTTACTCTTAAGTAATGAGTGTCATCATGACTGATCAAATGACCGTCAATGCTGAGTCTCTGTTTCCTTTCATCTTAGTCCACATGACTATTCATCAGTGCAATGCTGACCCTCTTCCAGCTCCGTATTCAAATCAGTTACTGATTGGTGGATTTACTTCAGCGTCTCCTGACTTAGTACAACACAGAGATTAATCATTAACAACTGTATTGTATAAAGCCTGTTTGTCAGAATTGTCATTAAGGCTAGGCTGGGATGAAGTTACGGGAGCCCTACATTAAACCAGCTTGCAGTATCCTGTGGCCTTTTGGCATAACAAGGATTTACAACAATAACAAAAAAGAACATATTCATAAGGATAAACAGATATGTTTTAAAATGAAATGAATAGGTGAAAAAGCATTTAGACGCTATATTAAATATATGTTGCATGCTGCAAATATATATTCAGCGTGGCAAAAATGTTCACATACAAATTGCACCTGGTATCATGACAAAATATATGTTTCAACTGGTTGGGAAGATTTCACACAACAAGTAGCAATCATGGTAAAGGTGAAGGAGCTTCCTGAAGTTCTCAGGGACAACTACTAAATAAAATTCAAATTGATCAAAGTCACAGAACCACTGCAAAGACCTTAAACATCTCTGTCAGTTCAATAATAAAGTGGAAAGTTCATGGAACCACAACTAATAGTCTCTGGACAGGTTCGCCATGCAAGTTTTCACTACGCAAACTCGTAATGATAAAGACGATATGATAAGGAAGGTAAGAGAGAAGCCAGCAGTCACTTACAACACAGAGAACAATAAGCTATAAACTACACAGCAATCATCTCTGTTCCTACACCTCTGCTAAAAATGAAGCACAGAGATTGTGTCGAAAATGTGTACACATGCATTTAGACAAATCACAATTTCTTTGGAACAATGTATTCTGCTCAGTAAAAACAAAAACAGAACACTTTGGCAATAATTCAGCTCATCATGTTAGGAGAAAGAAAATCATACCCACAGTGAAGTATGGAGGTGGGAGCATCATGATATGAGGCTGCTTCTTTGCAAACAGTACTGGGACATTACACATCATTGAAGGAAACATGATTGGTGCGACATACCTGAACATATTAGACTAGAATTTAATATCACTGCCAAAGAAACTGAATCTAAGGGAAAAGATACATGTTACTTTCAGGCAATGACCCTAAACATACAGCCTACATCAAAATGGCTGTCTAAAAAAAGGAAGTGAAACTTCTTGCATGGCCTAGCCAATCTCCTGACTTTAAATCACACTGAAAATTTAAAGTGGAATTTGAAATATGAGTCAATCAGAGGAACCCCCATAACCCTGGAGAATTGAAGATGTTTTGCCAAGTGGAACGGACAAAACTGAACCACAATGCTGCGAAAAGCTAATTACTTTTTACTGCAGATGTCTCGAAGCTGTAACTGTCAGCAGTGTCTTTGTAAGAAAATACTCATGTTATTCATTTGTAGTGTCTGAATACTTTTCCCCTAACAATGTAGTTTAACCTGTTTTTGTTTATGCTTATGAATACAAGTCAAAAGACATTATGTGTGCAAATTTGAAGTGGACATATTGCTGTTGTCGGAACAAAACCTTGTATCTCCAAAATGAGAACTTTACAGGAGAAGGGAAAAACATACTTTGCTTTTGTAAGTCAATGGAACCAGACATCTTTTTAAGTAATTTTGGGTCATTTCTTTTGGTCCATTCATCATAAAAATTACGCACAATGTAAAGGGCAACATGCATTTTCAAACCCAAAACTGTAAAAAAAAGACAAAAAAATGGAGATACAATGTTTTGTTCCGACAGCAGTGATATGTATTGGAAGCATAATAAATAACAAGACCATAAGTGTCTGAATACTTGTTTCCCCTCACTGCAACATTTTTGAATAAACCACATATACCATACATGTTGTAAATGGCTAAAAACAATATATACTTTATTTACATGTTTACATCAACTGAGGACTAATTCAGAGAAAATCATTTCAAATGGATTAAAATGAGCTATTTTCCTTCATCAGCAGTTATCATTGAACATTATTACTGATAAACTGAATATCTGAAATCATCTTCCAGTGACTTACTTTTACTCTCAGAAATCCCATATGTTTGACTCCATATGTTTTTATAAACATTTGCTTGATTCATGACAGTTCACATTTGCAACACATTATCCTCTCCATAAACGGCTCTCTACACTGATTATTCACAAGTAACAATACTGAGCATTACATTACATTGCATGCCGTCCATTTCACTGAACTGTCATTTGTAATCTTATTTCCTCACAGGAAATTTTAAAAAACAGGATGGCTAGGAACTGACTGGCCTTGGGCCAAGGCAAAATAGGAATAGGAAAAAAAAAAGAGAAAGAAATAAACGATTTAAAGTTAAGACTCCATGATCAAGACATAACAAAATTAACATAGCTGGAATTTACAGAACTGTAGTGTGTATTGGCACAGAATCAATCGATTTGCTCATTTTCAACCTCAAAATGTGTACAGACATGTGGACAAAAGTATACACGTACATAAGGTTACTGAATAACAAATTTAAGGGGTCCATCCCGGAGTTTACCTTTAAGGAAAACGAACAGATACAAAGGTAAATAGAGGTTTCATGTATTTGTCTCCTCACAAGAATAAATCAAAGCTGATTTACCCTCATTGGTAAATGTAATGCAAGACGCACTGCTCAAGTCAGGATTACAATCACGCTCAAGGATGCCGGTGGGTGTTTGGGAGTTAAGACGGGTCCAGTGAACTCCAGTCTCTACCTTAAAGCTGGACAAGGGAGGGGACTATTCTTCCTGAACTCAGACCACATACTGGTAGGGGTCAGCTTTCCCATGGTCAGGTGTAGAAAACGGGCTAAACCATGCTATTGAGAAGGGGTGTCCAAATACCGCCTTCATGTTCATCCATTTAGTTTTTTTAGCCCATCTTCTCTCTTCCTTTTTCAACTGCTCTATGCCCTAAAAACAAGAGACAACCAAGACTTCAGAGTGTGTGTGAATAATGTACTCCACCTCTAATAATTAACTTTGATCGAAAGAGCCAATGCCCTCCAATCGAGGCACAAATTCCACGGCAACTTTAAAGAACAAGTGAAGTATCAATGCCAAAAGGAAATCTGAGCTGAGAAATTACCACTGAACATAAGGACCATGTCTAAAGAGTTCAGTGCTGGTAAATCCTACATACTAAGAGCTTAGGCACCACTATTATTAAGATACCTCCCCTTGTTCATGAGTAAAATGAAATTTTCTTATGTTCAAAACTCAACAAGAATTGACAGACAAAAAGAGACCTTTATTAAACTTGAACACTACATTTGTTGATTATTCTTGGGCTTACATAAAGAAATAGATATTTCTTCAAATAATGTACTCACATAAAAAAAATACTGTTTTACCAGTTTTACCAGCAAATAAAGAGTAGAGTCTGGTAAAAACAAAAAATGCTGACTGCACTGAAACTAAGCTCATAGTGCACATGGCTTAAGCCCAGAATGCAGATCCTCAAAGCCTGGTATTTGAATTAGGATGCTGCTACAACACCTACTCTAAAGCATATCATGCTAGTGTCGCTGCATAATTATTAGGGATGCACAATGATATCACAATCATTCGGTGTCAGTAGAAATGTGCTTTAAACTAAACAGATAATTAAATAAATAAAGCAGCATTGGACAGATGTTTAAATTTGGCAGATATTTCAAACAGACAGGTGATGCTGGTGTTAACATGCCTGGATTTTAAAATTTTAATTGCCTTTGTAACCTTATAGAACAGGGGTTCTTAAGCACAGGGAAAATAATTTTAATGAGTGCATACAAGTTTTGCTGAATGGCTCCACCTACAGGCCAGGGAAGACAAGCTAATCTTGAGTTTGAATTTCTATTGGGTTGAACTTGTTACTGAGGGAGGGTGCTGACTGGCCGCTGAATTTGTAGCATTTTTTTCAGCAGCAGGCTAAAGATTTGTGGTTTGTGGTGTAGTACTAAAAAAGGAATGCAGGCCCAGCAAGTGAACAGACTTACTATTTGATTACTCTTGTGTAATTTCTGTAGTGTATTCTAGTGTGGTGGGGATGGGGGCTGGAGGGAGGAGGGTTGGTAAAGAGAGAGTCAGGACATTTTTTGAACTCTAAAAAGGGTTGCACTGGGGAAAAGGTTAAGAACCCTTGTTATAGAGGTAAATGTGATATTTCAATAAAATGCTAATTAAAGTGGATCTTGTGCCAATTTCTACAATTTATAAATGTATTGCATCCCAAATAACTATGCATGAGTCAATGTACTAAGTACCAGTTGCCTCTTACTTTAATGTAGCATTTTCATAGATTTAATGTTAAATAAGCAACTGATTTAAAATGGCCCATTGGCCTGTTAAAGACCAAATAATGATAGGTCGCAATTACAACTGTGGCTTTAAAAGTGCTGGGAAAAGTAACATAACATGATCGGTGCACCTGTGGAACTTTGAGCTAATCGGTACTCATACCACATCTGTACGAAGGCCTCTTGTGGTGGCAGAACTGACATGTATTTTACTAATCCTCTGAGGGGACTGGAGGACACTGTCAAAGAACATCTATCTCAGGGCAAGAATGACCCATTTGTACTTTATCTGCTAGAAGGGACTGGTGTTATATGTAGACTGCCTTAGTCCACAGCTCCTGGTGTGAAGTTGCCCTTAAATGCTGGACTTGCACAAAATGCATGTTGCACAAAACAAGACTTATTCAGTTGTACTCTAAAGACAAAGAAAATCCTAAATCATCACTTTTTTAATGTAAAACATTTTATACATACAATATCAGCTTTCTACAACTTCTATACACACCTTCTGCAGCAGGAATGGGCAGAGGGATAGAGGAAAGGGCTCACGTTTCTTACCGTCTCATCTGTACAGATGGAATGGACTTGGGTGCCAAACATCACAGAGGTGAAGATGAGAAAGAGGAGGCCCTCAAAGCACAGGAGGATGAGGAGGATGACTGTTGCTGGAGGTGAGAAGGTACTGCATTCTGGGTTTGGGAGGGGAAAGGGTAACCACTTAACACTCAGTAAAGGGTAAACAAGAGGATACAACAGCTACTATATGCTGCTAATGTAAGACACTACAGGTCAGTTTCCTGGGTATGAATCAAACTTAACCTTGGATTACACTGCAGTACCTACTGTGATTAATCAGTGAAAACCATATTTAGTTACAGTAAGTCAAAGCCCAGACTACAAAGGATTTTAAGTGGTGAAACAACATTGGCAATTTGGTCCAAAACTGAGTTTGATCCATGCCCAATATCATGTCAAATCCCAAACCAGAGACATTATTATGGGTATGTTGGTAATACAGCGGTCTAACAGATATTAGTAGGGGCAACAGTGATGATAACATAGTTGGAGAAACATACTGTATTGAATTAAAACCGTGAGAATTTGCTGGTGTAGTTGACTTTGGCCCATGAGCCATGTGTAACTGATGAGAATTTTTAGGTATGAAAAATATTGCTATATATCTTATGTAAATATGTATAATGTCATATTTCAATGATAGCTTTACATTGCCCACCATGAGAGAATGACACTTTTGCACGAGTTTCTTGAGGTGCAATACTGAGAATCATTTGAAAATTGGTGTTTCGTTATTTAAGACTGATTTCTTTAAGGAAAAAACCTTTAAACCCTTGTTCATCAAGCTAGCCTTACAGATGGTTAACAGTCATCTGAGTGAAATCGCTAGCCATGGTAACAATGACACTAGATCACACATATGAGGCTCAGCTGTCATGTATAAACACACAAAAGCTTTCTCTGCTGTCTCTGTTTCTAATTAAATACACGCCCCCTCTTCAGCTATATGTCACTAAAAAGGACCTTTACAAATATAAGAACTGAAGCATTTAAGAAATATTCATATATCCATCTAGAATGCTAATCCAGCTGCACAATTCTCTCAGATTTAAAAACATCTGGAAAAACTGGGGCCAGGCCTTCCAATATATCGACAATGACAAATGATTGTACTTACTTGTCCAGTCATCTTCAAAGCAATACAAAAAATGAAAGACCACCATGACCAAGGCATGCAGAGAGATGAGTGCAATGTACATCTGGAATACAGAGAGATATTCAAGGTTAGACAAGGACTGCAGACGTGCTTGTTCAAAACAATCAGCAACTGTGCATGCTTTGCCTCCCATCACCCACAGCATTATATTAGCCAAGCTAACATATTTGTATAATGTAGGTTTCAAACCATCTTCACGGATATAGAAAATTTTTATGTTTCCTAGTAAACAATGCATAAAGCACAGGCTTGTTTGTTACTGGATTCGTCTGAAAATACATCAGACATTCGTTTGAAAGTATTGCCTCTGATATCATCATAATCAGCACCCCCACCTTCTTTTACAATATATAATACACCATAACACAATGATAACCCACTCTACACTTTGCATTTCCAATAGTATCTTTTACGTCTAAACAAATTCTTTGATAGAAATTAGTATTGTATTCTCTGCTATTTACTTTGTATATAGTGCCACTTACAGTTTGGTACTGATGCAGGATTACCAGTTACTGAGTATTATTAACACAAAATGACTGATACAATAGTAAAGAAAACAGCAACATTTTCATATTATCATTAACATTAATATTAATTTAGTAAATATTACTTTATTCATAAGTCAGTTAAATGATCTCTGTTTGTTTTTGTGTGTCAGTGTGTTGGTTCGTACCGTGAAGAGCACAAAGTACTTCTGATTATTTTCACCAACACAGTTGTTGACCCAAGGACAGTGGTGGTCCATCTTCCGGATGCACCGCTTGCAGACACTGATTACATGAGTGTGAAAACACGGTAAAGACAGAGTGAACAAAAACAATCCACAGACTTCTGTTGTTGCTTTTGATAGTGTTAGTGTTAGTATGTATTGCAAAAGAAATTTAACAACAAATGTTAAAACTGAGAAATTTTACTGTTTTTTTTTAAATATATGCCCATTTTGATGCCAATAACACGTTCCAAAAAAAGTTGGGACGGTGGCATGTTTACCACTGTGTTTCATCACATCTTCTTTTTACAACACTGTGTAAGTGTTTGGGAACTGAGGAGACCAACCGCTGTAGTTTTGAAAGTGAAATGTTTTCCTATTCTTGCTTAACATAAGATTGCAGCTGCTCATCAGTTCAAGGTCTCCTTTTTCGTATTTTTCATTTTATAATGTGCCAAATGTTTTCAGTGGGTGACAGGTCTGGACTGCAGGCAGGCCAGTTTAGCACCCGGACTCTTTTAATACAGAGCAATCCTGTTGTAATACATGCAGAATGTGGTTTGGCATTGTCTTGCTGAAATAAACAAGGCCTTCCCTGAAAAAAGTCATTGTCTGGATGGCAGCATATGTTGGCAAAACATGTATATATCGTTCAGCATTAATGGTGCCTTCACAGATGTGCAAGTCACCCATGCCATGTGCACTAATGCACCCCTACACCATCATGAATACTGGCTTTTGAACTGTGTACTGATAGCCAGCTGAGTGGTCTTTAGCTCGGAGGACACAGTGTCCATGATTTCCAAAAACTGAAAAGAATTTCAAATGTTTATTCCTTGGACCACTTGACACTTTTCCACTTCATCTCAGTCCATTTTAAATGAGCTCAGGCCCAGAGGAAGTGGCAACATTTCTGAATGCTGTTTAAATATATTATTTCTTCTTTGCGTTTAAAAGTTTTAACTTGCATTTGTGGATGCAGCGACTAACTGTTTTTACAGACAGTGGTTTTCAGAAGTGTTCCTGAGCCCATGCGGTGATTTCCACTACAGAATCATGTTTGTTTTTAATGCAGTGCTGCCTGAGGGCCCAAAGATCATGGTTAGCAAATACTGTTTTTCAGCCTTGTCCCTTGCATACAGATTTTCCTCTTTTAAATGTTATTATGTACCATAGATGATGAAAAGCAAAAGCTCTTTGCTATTTTATGTTGAGAAATGTTATTCTTGAATTGTTGCACTATTTGATCGGGCAGTCTTTCACAGAGTGGTGAACCCCTCCCCATCTTTACCTCTAAAAGACTCTCTGGGATGCTCTTTTTATACCCAATCACGTTACTGACCTGTTGGCAATTAACCACCAGGTGTTTTTTTTAAGCATTACACAAATTTACCAGCCCTTTGTTGCCCCTGTCCCAACTGTTTTGGAACGTGTTGCTGGCATCAAATTCAATACAGGCATACATTTTTCAAAAAACAATAATATTTCTCAATTTCAACATTTGATATGTTGTCTTTGAAGCATTTTCAATGAAATATAGCTTTTAAATAATTTGCACATCATTGCATGTTGTTTTTATTTACATTTTTCAGAGCGTCCCAACTTTTTTGGAAGTGGGGTTGTAAGTTAAAATCTGAAACTGCCAGCCGCCTTTTAAACTCTATAAACCATTAAACAGGAATAGGCCACTGTGTAAACCTGCTGATCTACTGCCCTGGAAAGTTTAATTCTAATCCACCCAGCTCTAATATTCAGATGCTCCCAAACGCCTTCACTGACTGATTAGAGTTGGGACTAAATTAAACAGGGTTGTGTTTCCCAAAAACGTGGCTGAAAAACTACCATGGGTAAACGATAGTCTCTCTATCATTTTGAACACTCTCTCTCCACCATTACCATGGTGGCTGCTCAACGTCGCTTCTGGACTGGGCAGCAAATCACCAGGTCTGAACTTAGGCACCCCTGTTGCAAAGTTTAATAGCAAATGACAAGCTTTTACATTACATTACCAGATTAAGGACATTAATAGGCTAAGAATGTTTTTTCTTCTCCTATAAAAGGTTCTATTTCGGAGACACAAGGTGTATTTATGAGAGTAAATAAATGTAGCACAGCATTAAAAAATGGCAAAAAACCAAATATGTACAAACTGCTCTTTTTCTTCTAACTGGAAGATGAACGTTCAAGTAGCTAGGAAAAAATGTGTCATGTAAAGTAAAAAGTACCTATGCTGACTCAGCTGGAACAAAAGTTGCCAACAAACCATCACTCACACATGGTTCTGATGGCCAACATAACTATACGCAGTTTCCTGGCAAACCACTGAAGCTCGGCCTAGCGCCCGTCTTTCTTACCTGCAGTGGTGGGCTCTGTCAGGCTTGATGCTGCAGCATTTGGGACATTTGTAGACCACCTGACCTGGTTTCAGCTGCAGGCTCTCTATGTACTCTTTTGTGGCATTTCCTTTTGGTACAGCCCCCTAAAACACGTTTGCATTGAGTTTATTCCTGACAGAGATGCACTACATATATGATGGTACGAAAATTTCATGTCCTATCAAAACCTTGTAACTCTTTTTTTATGCTTTTAATTCTTTTACACCAGTGGTCTTCAAATTCAGACTTTGAATCCAGCTTCTGGTCCTGGATTTTGCACATACTTGTAGTTGGCCAATCAGCTGTATGAATAGTTCCATTTACCATCACAAAATCCAGGACTGGAAAATGTAATCAATGTCCAGATTTTGAAGACCTCTGTTTTACGGCAACAGAAATCATCCAAAATTACTTGGATATAAGAAACTCCTTTGGAGATACAAGGTTTCTGACTTAATAGGAACTTACTGGGTCTGTGCACATGGCTCTGAAATGGGACGCCAAGGCAAGAAACGCCAAGCTGTTGAAGATGGTGCCATTCACCAGGCTGTAGGTGAGGTTCTTGGAAGGAAGCAGCATAACAAACAACACCACGAACTCCGCAAAGAAAACGAGCAGCCATGTGATGACCGCGCAGACGATGCCACAGGCATCACGGACGAACCACATGGTGTTCTGTCGGTCATGACAGGGAGGGACACACTGCATGGGCGGCAGGCTGCCAGCCTGCCTCTCAACGTCCCTGAATCGAGGCACTGGACTTCTCATCCTATCACAAAGGCTCCATGCTGAGGAGAAACAGAGTAAGGAAATCACTCGCCATGCAATTAATGAAGCACTTTTAGTTGGACAGAACTCCCTCCGGGTGTACTGTTTCAGAGACGGATCATTAACAAACAGAGCTCATCTGTGAGATGAGGGACAAAAGTGGCATGCTTTGGACTACCTACTTAAAGTTCATATACAAGACAACAGAATAACAGCAGATGATGTGTCAGAAGGTCATACTTATTGGCAACAGCAAAAGAGTTGCTGCAGTCTGCCCATAGGCTGCTGACCACTGGACCACTGGACCAAGACCAACAATGCCAAGAAGAGGACAGACTTTAGCTCATAATCAGGGAGCTACAAGGGATCTTGTTTACAATTGAATGTTCCATAATTTGCTGAAGGGCTGCATATTTCAATGTTGTTTTAAAAACAAGACTATTTGACAGACCTGATGTGACAAAAACAGTGCAAAATAAATTGTTTTTGTCACATATTGATTTCATTCACCTGCCTGTGTAGGAATGTGAGGAGGAGGAGAACATCTTCCCTTGGAGAGGTGTGGACTATTCAGCCCACTCTATTCAGTTCTATCCCTTAATGTGCCTTTAAGCACACGTAAGCAATGAATATCATCCTGTATGCCCTTGTATTCACACAATGAATAAGATATCATGAGATACAGTGATGCTCTTGCAATTACGCATCACGCAACTTGAAGTGATGAGCAGTAACTTAAACCTCCACATATGTTTTCGCCACAGCGCTGGAGACACGACTGTAGGACTGCGCTCCACGGAGCCAACTGAGCCAACTGCAGCTCGCCTGGCTTTACCCAGTCAAAGAAGCACATAGGTTAGCTATCATAGCGCAGTGTAGGCAAAATGTAGTAGAGACGTGCTAAGACACGGGCGATAAAGCGATAACACATCTAATCGGCAAATTAGGGAACTGAGAGTTTAATATGAACCATAAAAAGAGGGGTTTACCAGTCCGAGTGTGTGTTTTACCAGTAATTACCAACAAACGTGCGACGCGGAAGCTAGGCGAGAGGCTGCTGCGCTAGCGTTACCTGGCCCAGGCGATCAATACTTACTTTAGTGCCGAAAATACTCCTCACATCTGCTCCTCCAGACAGAAGACGAAAACGCGGAGAGTGAAGGAACCGAAACTCGCCGTTCAGTTCATTAAGATGAGGAAAATCCTGTTTAGCTGGAGACCCGGAGGAGGCTGTTGTGAAAGCTGCATTTTTGTGCGTCTACTCCTCCCTCTGCTGAGCGACAGAGGAGAAAGTGGAGGCCACACCTCCACACCATCCACACACACACACACACGCTGCCCACTCCTGCAACATGGAGGGGCAGAAAAGGGGCAAGACTGACTGTGCCAGCTGCTTCACACCGACACATCCAGACTAACGCCGTTTCGTGTCGATACAGCGGTCATATAGATTTGAACAGTCGCTCACCGCACACTGACTCTACTATCATCACAGGTTAAATCACTCAATTGGCGTTAGAGGCAGGATCATTTATACACAGCTGGAGGAGTCAGTAGGCTGTAGGCTAGGTGTTTCTAAATGTTGGAAAAGTGCATATGACTTTTAATACTAGTTGTGATCTATCTATATCTATCTATCTATATATATATATATATATATATATATATATATATACACGTGTGTGTGTGTGTGTGTGTGTGTATTCCTGTGGAAAAAAATGTTGTTTAATTATACAATATAATAATAATAATTGTAATAATAATAATAATAATAATAATAATAATAATAATGAGAAGAAGAAGAAGAAGAAGAAGAAGCAGAAGAATAGTTGTTGCTGTTAAAACTTTAGTGTATGTATGTCCAGTATTGTCCGCAAAGGGTCGGTGTGGATGCAGACTGGATTCCGCTCATTTAATCGGTCAGTCTTAGTCTTCAAACAGCTGACCAGGTCTGCTCCTGCTTTGTTGCAACGAAAACCTGCAGCCACACCGGCCCTTTACAGATAAGACTGGACTGATCATTCCAACATGAAGTTGAGCAAATTCCTTTTAGAAACCCTAATCCTCTTAAGAGCATATTTTATATTTGTCAAAGTGTAGTGCTTAATGAGAGGTTTGTAATTGAGAAATACTGATTTATGCTTTTTCCTGCATTAAATGTGATCATTCATCTCTTTTTGTAGGGAAAAAATGCGGAGCCCTGCTGGTGACATCCTGTATGAACAAAAAAATTGCGTGACCACGACTTAGTAAGGCGTGAGAACAATATCCTAATGTGAAGACAGGACTTAGTAAGGTATGATCTCGTTCCCACACCTTACTAAGTTGTGGCCACCACTTAATTATCTCATTCCCACGCCTTACTAAGTTGTGGCCAGGCATTAGGATCTCACTGCGATGCGTTATTAAGGCGTGGCCATGCATTATTTCTGTTTATATGAGATGTCATCAGCGGGGCTCCGTAGCATTGAAATTTTGTGTGCTTAAAACTTTTTTAAAGAGATAACGGGCTCTGCCATATGGCACATTAAACCTGAATTATTTATCAGTTCTAAGAACAATGTAACATTTTAAATCAGTTAGAATCGGTTTGATTTGACCCAAAAGATGCCACAGTAGGAAGTTTAAACTCTTCCTGAATCATTTAAATAATAACTTAAATAGCGGTTTAAATGAGGACTATTTTTCCCAAAACCGTACCTGGGAAGTTTGAAACTCCCAACTCCGAGTCATCGTGAACACGGAATATTCTGATGTATGACCGGCAGGAAGAGTTTTCTTATTCATCACGGCTGATCCGCCTTAAAGGCGTCGTACGAATCCACTGATCTTGAGTCGTCGTCGCCGGAAGTAAGAGTGTATTATCTAACGCAGTGTTTCGGTGGACATGAGTTGTAGATCAGCGGCCGTGTGGAGCGTGAAGGCGAAGCTGCAGCGGAGAGTCGATGGCTGGTTTAGCGAGCAGTGTGAACCGAGCCAGGCAGCCCGCTGAGCTACGTACCGAGTCTCACAGTCTCTGTCGAAAATGAGCCTTGTTGCTCGTTTAATTTCGTTGCCAAAGGAAAGCTGCAAAAGGAAAGATATTACCTCTGACTATTATCTCTGACTGAGCAGCAGTGGGGACACTGTGGGGCTCGTTTTTAGCACCTGGCTACCTCGCTAGCTCCGTGCTATGACTACACAGCGAGCAGCTCACATTGCTTCAGCCTGGTCAGTAAAGCTAGCTGGTTTTATCTGTTTACCACAAGCATGTAGCTAACACTCTAGTTATAATACTAGAAGCGCTGCATATTTAAAGAAGAACAATTTAGTTTATACAGTCATACTGTAGTTTAGAGGTTCTGTGTCCTAGCTAGCTGTCAGGATAGCTCAGCACCCAGTTGTTCAGCTAGCTTGCTAGTTCTGCTTTAGCATACATCATCATAACCAGTGTGTTTCTGCAAATAAAGTAAAGCCTGGCATTAAGTCTCAGAAGAGTACTGTCCCAACATTGGTACTGAATACGCTGATCTAAAGTCACCTAAATAGCCTGTATAGCTTTATAAATACCTCTTACAAGGTCGCCTTATGTTTACTCTGAGTTGTTCATGTAGATAACATTGTCATTGCTGACCTGTGTGTACATGCATATATGCAACGTAACATTATATATATATTTTTTTCATCTTTCAGACATTTTCAACATGGCCATCGCTCAGTTTCGCCTGTTCAAGATATGCACTTGCATAGCAACCATCCTTTCTTTCTTTAAAAGGTTGATATGCAGGTAAGTTCTGGATGGTTTTTAAGGTGTTTTACAGCATAAAGTGTTTGTAATTATATTCTTTGCTCCTGTTTAGTGAGTGCCTTGATGTGAAAAGTACATCACTATGTTTCAGTCCATATCTCTGTGCTTACAAGCTGTATCAGACAGTCTGTTGGCTTAGACACAGCAGCTGGGTGATTTTTTAAATGTTTCATATTGTTGATATTGTTATGTTTAACAGCATTACATTTTTTTAATATTTATTTAATGTCATTGTAAATAATGCAAGTGGCATTGATTTGGAGACACACAGCTGCACAGCTTTCAGATTGTAACTTAGTCTAACCTAGCCATCAGAATCTAATGTTTAAATGATTTGCCACCTGTCATAGCCACCGATCCACAATTCACTTTAGCAAATGTTAACGGTGTTGGGACAATTGGCCACATTTTACCTGTGCTAGTCACTAACGTTTACCACCATGATTACTGTAGGCACTCCTGACTGAACGCGACTGTGCCTCCATAATCCAATATCTCACAAAGACTCAGTTAAATGTCTGGTAGATAACAATAGCTCAAAGAAATCTAAAAATAAATCTTGCTGCTGTCTTGTTGAATATGTTGCTGTGGCTACACAACTATCAGTCACTGTGCAGTCTGAAATGCCCACACAGTCCTGATCAGGCACAGAATTGTTTTCCTGGAGTTCCTCACTCCATTTGGTTCTTTTTTTTTAAGTTGGACTTTGGTTAGTGATCATAAGGTTACAAATCATTGAGATATTTGTAGTATTTGCCATTGAGTTGACAGCCTCTTTAAACCCAGTGTATCAGAGTACAGAGCCAGTGTGCATCATCAAAGCAATAAGACACGAGAGGCTGTGCTTTACAGTGATTTTAATGATCATGAAGTAATTTAACAAATGTTCCTAAATGATAATACACAATTTTCAAAATTACATTGTTTTTAATAATACTAATATTGCTACCACTAATGATGATGATGATGATGACGATGATAATAACAATAATAATAATAATAATAGAAATAAACAATTATTCCACCAATAATAGCGTGCAGTCGCCTCTTGTTGTATCTTGCAGTCACTTTATGAACTTTTTTGGCTTTTCTTGTAATATGATATAACACTGTTTAATGCAAAACTCTTATTTATGAGTAGTTTTTGCTGACCTAATTACCACTGCAACAACAATGCTAATTTCCATTAGCATTGCTATGCAATTACCTTATTTAGCACAGGTTAACCATGTTGTACATTGTCCCCACATTGGGGCTGAATCTCATATGGCTCCCTCCTCACTATGTAGTGCACTACATAGGAATTAAAATGCAAACAGAACTTAATATACCTAACAAATCATCATTTGGGATTCAGCCATGTGTGGACACGATTTGTCAGAATGCTGTAGAAGTCAGAATTTCATAACTTGCCTAGTGCGCTACATCGGGCTTAGTAATGTTCCGAGTGAAATTCGCCAGAGTTAAGTCATAGATTGAATGAGTGAATAATGTTAAATCTGGCTAAGTGACATTTGTAAACTGAACATGGGCTTCAAGTGACTTGAAAATTCAGAATTACTCAAAAGAACAGGCACTTAAGTGGGCACTAGCTAGGAAAATATTGGTGAACGACAGAAGTGGTAACATTAGCATATCCACTTCATTTACTCCAGTCTGCATGGATCCAGAAAGGCAATACACTGATAATTGTATCATCATATAATTGTTTGGCATCTCTCTGGAGCTGGATAAGATACACTCCCTTTTCATTTGATTCAGTATTATTCACAACAAGCCTGAAAATCAGAAATAAAGTAGCAATGAAACTCTGCCATGAAGTGGGTGATGTGGCAAAAATATCATGATACTTTTCATGACACACGATATGTATCATAATATTTTGATATAGCGCTAATAGTGCTACATTTAAAAATAGCTATCAAAATTCTGGGTACACCAATTTTTATGTACATTTTTAAAGCCTTTACCTTTACCTAAATAGCTTTTTCTTGTCACAAAACTTCCCTAGTGATAACACTAATTTCTGCTGGCATCTTCATGTGATTTATATTGTTTCAAGCTAGCTGTGCTAAAGATAAATTTTCTACACTAGGTTTGATACTACTTATATTGCAGTTTTATTGTTTTATTTTTCAGTAAATTCTTCAGTTCAACACTGAATATTATTAGAGGAGTCTACTGGCCTGTTGTCTATCTGCTTAGTTGATAAGCCTACTTGTGCTAAATTAGTTTAAAAAAAAACAGGTTTTTATGTGGGGTTTGTTGAGTACTGTTTCAGGCTATTTACTTCATATATGCACTGTATATGCCTTGTCCTGTCTACAAGCACAGTAACGCAATACAGAAGTTGTTGTGAAGCGGTCAAATATTTTTACAATAGTTTTGAATGTGGACCGGCCGATCGTGTTTTAGGACCAAACTATCCATTTTATAATGTTAAATTACTCACAGACTCTAAAAAAATCCAAATAATATACTCTTAACATGTTTTTGTTCTGTTGATATTAGACATGTTACATCAGGTTGAGATTGAAGGTATAGAGAACCTACCATGAACTCTCTCATCTTAATAGTTAAATTATGCCAACTTCATCACTTGCATCTCCAAAATGATGAAATAAGTTTGGGATGTGCGACTTCTAAAGTTAGAAATGGTCTGAAACACCAAAATCTAAATAAAATGAAAAATTCAAACAAACATATTTTACAAATTTTGAGACTAATGCGAATTTTGAGACAAATAAATCACAATATGGTGTGGCCTTGACTTGCATTGTAGCCTCACAGGGAAAGTGTCCTGTTGTGGAAACTGAAATTATATATGGAATTAGCTAAAAATGAATAAATCCGGAGTGGGAGACTGAGGACCAGCACAGTTTGATGTGTTCCCTGCTCCTAATACTCCAACTAAAATTGGCAGTTAATTGATGAGTTGAATCAGGCGTGTTGGAGCAGGAGAACTACCACTCCAAACTGTGCAGGACTCTCCAGGACCAGAGTGAATAAATAAATAAGTCATCTTTAATAATAAATAACACATCCTTTAAGCAATTCTTTCTCTTTGTTCTCACCCTTTAATTTCTTTTGCCCTTTTTTTGTTAACAGAACTGGAAGATCACGGAAGCTAAGCGGTGATCAGATCACTCTTCCTACTACTGTTGATTATTCCTCTGTGCCTAAACAGGTTAGTGTATACCCTAATGTCTTATTGTTGTGAAAGAACATTAACTTTTTTAAACAATGAAAACAATCTGCATTTTATTTTTTTTTTCGTATGTTTTCTGAAAATATGTATAGTTTAAGTAGACTTTAGCTTCAGTGCATAACTCTTGTTTAAATGCCATAGATACAGTGAGCATTGGATAGAACAAGAGTTGGAAGTCCTTAGATGTAATTCATGAAACCAAATGCATATTAATATTAAGAAGATTTTGTGTTTTTCATTTAAGCACATTTTTAGCAACATGTAATGGGAAAAGGGCATCAGAGGAGCTAGGACAGACCATTGTAGGATATTTTTCTCCTAAGTAAAAGAATAAAAAGTATCTTAAACCAGAAAAATGCTTTTCTTTCATTTTTGCTTTGGACATGGTGCACTTGTTTAAAAACAAATCGATTATTGCAAGTTATTATAGGTTTACTTTGTTTATGTAATATCTGTGCAATGTTTGTGTTTCTGCTGTAGCCAGAGATTGAAGAATGGAGTTCGTGGGATGAAGAGGCTCCAACAAGTATAAAGATTGAGGGTGGTAATGGAGCTGTTCCTCCACAGCAAAACCAGGAGGAGGAGGAAGAGCCAGACTATTTTAAAGACATGGCTCCTACCATCAGGAAAACACAAAAGGTTGGTTGATATTTGGTTTAAGAATCTGTTTATTTCTACTCCATCCACAAAATGGCTGTGGTAAGCTTATAGGTTTCTACCCCTTTACCCTCTACTAGATTGTCTTGAAGAAGAGGGAGCCTGTGAATTTCTCTGTCCCTGATACTGCTACAGGCTTCTCCAGCAGACTGGCTGCCGCTCAGGACATGTCCTTCATCCAGCCTTCAGTGAGTGCTGTTCTCCTGTTACGTCTGTAGACCACATTCTTCCTTTCACAGTGTCGAAACAGACACACACACTAACACACGTAATGGTAATTTCCATTGATGGGGACATTCTCTGACACACAGTGATAATGCAGCAAACATTTGATCTTAATAGATGTTTTCTGGTCTTGATGCAGATATGTTAGACTAATTACAATTGAAACACAACAAGGATGATAAAGTACAAAAAAAAGAATATTTGCAAGGAGAATTTCCCAATTTTTTGGGAACATGTCCTTACTGTAATTTGCCTAATAGTGTTAAAAGGTCTACTGTACCTGAGGTCCCTACGTGAGGCATAAAGAGGTACACACACCCTATATGTGATATTAGACATACAGTCATATGCAAGTGTTTGAGAACCCTGATGATATTACAAGTGAAAATAAGTTAACACATCCTCTACAGAGAACCTCCGCGCACATTAAAACGCAATTACTGTTTATTTACTGAATTTTACATGTTTGGGGAGGAAAAAAATATTTACGTGTTTATTTACATTTTATATTTCCAGCATGTTAAACCCAGCAGATATAATAGAAATAGAAATGATCCACATAAATTAGCAGGAAAAATGCCATTTTAATTTAGCATAAAAAATGATATTTTTAACTTGTCCTGTAGAGGATGTGTTAACCTACTTACACTTAGAAAATGAACAAAACAGGTAATTTGCCTGATGTTTTTGCACACAACTGCCCCTACAAGAAATGGTTCTCAGTCTGTTCTATTCTATTAAAAACACTTCAACCATGAAGATTAAAAAATCCCCTGTTCTGTTTGGAAAATATTCATTTAAAATATGAATTCTGCCCAATGGCAAATTTAAAAATAATAGCTGGAAGCAGGGGGAAGGAACTAGCCTATTTGTTTTGTGTTTCTTGCATGGTTGATTATCCAAGCTCTGTGAAATGGCCAGTGGAGAGACCATGTTTGCATTTGGATACCCCAAATCACCTCCTATTTAGGAACACTAGTTCCTAAACACTAGTTCTAGTTTGGTGCTTTATTTTGGCTTGTGTCTTTTCTCTGAAATGTTAGTATTTATTCAGTTTGTATTTAGATTTACTCATCTTCAAAAAATATTTTATGTTTTGGCAGTTGAGTTTGACCAAAAGAAATAATGCCAATATTCAGTTTGGGTGTAAACAAAAGTCACTATACGGTGTGTCATATGGTGGTGCAAAAACCACAATACATATTGTATCATTATACTTGCACATTTCAGGTGTGAATTCTTTAGAGCCTATTCATCTGCACATGATTTAAATTGACTTTATTAAGAAATCTGTGTGTGCATGTGGTCTGCAGGCAGAGCTGGGGGACCTGGATAACTGGCAGGAGGACAATAATGCCTGGGAAGATGAGTCTGATGCTGCATGGGAGGCAGAGGAAGTGTTAAGGTATAGTTCTACGGCGGGTAGCCAAATTTTATATAGCTGTTCATTTGAGAAAGGATGTATTTGAGGAAGAAGGAAATCAACAGGCCTAAATACCATTCAGTTTCACACTGTATGTGCAATTAGAAAATTGAACAGAGAAAATATGGGCATCCCTTTGTCCACTAGATGGCAGTATACCGTCAGATTTAAACGACAGTTTTTTTTGTTTTTTTTTTTCGTTTAGTTCTTTTTGATGTGTGGCTGCTCATGGCTGTTTCTATTTTTCATCTTGTCATATTAGAATTCAGTTTTATATGTAGAACACTTGGTCTAAAGACTTGGGTTTTTGGAAAATATGTCACTCTTTGTGTATGTGATGATTACAGACAGCAGAAGATGGCAGAGAGGGAGAAGCGTGCAATGGAACAGCAGAGGAAAAAAATGGAGAAGGAAGCTCAGAGAATGATGAAGAAGGAGCAGAAGATTGCAGTCAAGCTTTCATAACATTTATAAGGAGCGCCGGACACTCAAAAACCCCAACTGATCCTCCGTCAATACCTTTGATCCTTTTTATCCATTGCTTTTTATCCATTGCACATTTCACTTCTGTGACATTTGCCATCAAATTTGGGAGTCTATTGACTGGTCATGAGAATTCTACTGGTTTTCTAACTCTTTCCCTTTTATTGTATTGAATACAATAACACTTTCTTTTTTGTGCATTCAGGAGCATTGGGGAATATAATAGACCTGCAGAAAAACTTGGCAGATTATAGTGTGTCTGTATTTATAAAACTTGAAAGACTGATGGGAATGACATGATCTTCTTGCCTTTGTAATATTTTTTGTCTTTGTTTTTTTCCTCTCACCATTCTTTGTATGATTCTGTGCTTTAAACAGTTAATTACGGAGGAAGCATTTTAAATTGTGGCAGTAATAGTCCAAATAATTGTTGAATTTATGCAACCCCTTTTTCCGCTTGCAGAGCAAATGAATGGTAGTTAGCTTGTCATCACGTCCCCCTATTTTCAGTGGTGAGATAAGCATAACTGTGATTAAGAGTCACTGCAGAATGAGGCCTTATGTAATGGCATGTACTTTCAAAAAAGGGATGGAGTTTGCCTTCCCCAGATCAAGGTCATCTGACAATAAAACAAAATCACATGAAGCCTGAGACTGAAAAGAAGAGCATATATCTCTGTTCATGTAGTAGAAATCGGTTCTTCAGGCTTAGTCTGGCCTGGTGCGTGCCATCTGAAATGAGGCAGTGTGTCTGTTGCGTGATGGAGCGGCCGCTCTTGAAGCGAGTGTTTATTGAGACGTGAGTGTTAAACTGTTGGTCGTCATGGTAACCTTGCAGTTTTAGACTGAAATGGCAACCAAAGCAACTCATGCCATATCCATTTTTAATTGAATAGTGTGTTTCCATTCAGTGTAGTAATAGAAAGCATCAGGTAAATAATCTGTTCATCACCAAGGACATGTAGCACCTCTTAGGTTTTAGGCAGGAATTCTCTTCTTATAAGTCCAGTAACAACTGGAGTCTGTTTTGACAGGATAATGGTTTGTGTTCTCAGACTGACTGACTTGTTGGTTGGTTGTGAATAAGAAGAATGTCATGTGGAAATGTACCTTTATGTCTCTCTCAATTGTTCGGTACTGGTATAAAGCTCAGGGCTGTCCTAAGGTGTTGAGGATGGTGGAGATGGCATCATCTTGTGCTATAATGAGAAGGGAAAGTCAAGCCTTGAGAGACATAGGGCACAGATAAAAATCAACATCCTACCTTTGAGTTTCTTACCTTTAGGTTTTTTTTTCTTCTTCTAGTCAGGGTGCTGTTTCTCCAAAGCTTAATGATCATTAATAATGAGTTTGAGACAGTTCTAAAGTTTTTTCTGAAATCCGTTTGGAAAGGTTTCTGAGATTGGTTTTACCATGTGTGGCAAGACAATGAAGTGCATGATGGTGTCTTTTGTCAAACATTGCTTCTGTTTCTTTGCACACATTCCTCCTTCACCTGTAATAAATGTTTGGAAAGCCATTCTGTGGTTCAGTCTTGGCCTGAAACAGTGATCCTTTCAGACTCTGAGTTGTTCTAATTTCCACTGTTCCCACTTCAGCATGTTTGTCTTGAATCCAGGGCTTGTTAACTAGCTGATGAGTGCAATACGATGCTCTTACTGCTGGTGTAGATCTAAAACACGTGGTCTTAGTGAATCTGTGCAGATGGCATTAGAAGCAGAATTAATTTGCTTTTTAAATTGCTCTGCTGATGAGTTGCCTAGTAATTCCAATATTGGCCCACTCATTAAATCTATATAAATGTATCCTCACAGTCTTCACTAGACTTTAATGTTATGCCTGTTTACCAGATGAGAGATACCCTGCAGAATAACTGAATGTCTGCATTTTCAAAGCTTATTCAAGGTCAGACGTGTTGTTCTGACTGTTGGAATATTCTAGCCCTGTGAATGACGTCGTAATCCCCATCTGTCTCAGCAACGCCCCCGGTCTTCCAGAGCTCGCGCAGCCTGACCCACTTTGATATTAAAGCAGCTTCCTGATTCAAGAGCAGAGGATAACAAGCATGTCTTTGCATAATATGATTTTGGTGCATTTTAGGCATTGTGCCCTTCATTTGAACTAAGAAGAAGAGCTGCAGCTTTGCAGGGAGAGGATTATTGTTAAATCAGCATCATATCATCCTCTCAAGATGGAGGCCACAGTCTATACAGCCAAGTCTGTAGTAACCTAACACCAACATTAGCAGCCGTCAGGGATCCACATCATTGTCTTTCTAGTTTTTGGTTTATAGCTAGATGTGTGAAACCCAGCAAAAGATTTGTCACACAAGCAGCAGCACTCAGTATATTGGATAGAGACACGTAATGATGTGTAGAGATTAAAATTGTGATTTCTGTGTTATACCCAAGCTCTTTGGTTCATACAATCCCAAAAATGATGAGGTAAACACAGTCAACACAATGCTTTATTTATTGGTATCCTTGGACGTATTATCAGTTTCTTTACAGTTAAAACATTTTTGGTATATCCCACATTTTGGAGCATAACATCACTGTTGGGAGAAAACCTTGAATCTCCAGTTTTTCTGACAGTGATGATAAGTAGGCCTGCTGGGACCTTTGGATGAATTGTGGTTTTAACTGGTTTTATGCTTTCAGGTACATTTAAAGGGCTCCTCCAATGATTCTTAACACAGTCTCTCTCTGCTGCAACTGTAGCACACAGGTAAGTGTTATGAACAGTATTTTTTAAACGTTTCCTTGTATCTAGTAAAAGAATGGAAAACCTGATCAATAAAAAGTCAATATGAATTGGAAATTGTAACGCATTTTCCTTTCATACAGTGACATTTTTTAGTGTAATATGGAATCAGGGAGGGTCTCTGAGCCAGCTGAGTGTTCTGCTTAGTGATCGGTGGGAGGGAAGGTGAAATGTTTTTGGTTAATATTTTCTCGGCTTGCTGGTGCACGGTGATGTCAAAACTCAGAAAACATTTTAGAGGTGGGCAGAAGTCATTTCATTTTGATTCAAGATTACAGGGAAACAAAATGTATTTGTATTGTAATTTGCTGTTTTGCAATTGGTTTTGGCATCTGCCATTAGAATAAGTAGCCACAAGCAAAATGAATAATGTCACTGTCCAAAGAAAAACAAGTATCTCCAAATCAGTAACTTTACAGGAGAGAGCAAAACCCTTAACTTTTAATATCAGTTAATATAAAGAGATTTTATTCCAAGTGATTTTAGAGCATTTCAATTGGTCCATTCATCATAAAATGTAGAGGACAGCTGGTGTGTTCAAATGATGCAGAAAAATAAAAATTGACAACAATGGAGATACATGGTTTTATTTGAACAGCGACGATATTCAATCTTTAAAAGGGCTGCATATTTTCTTTTCCAATACCAGGACTTTCTTGATATTTAATGGAAATGGTCATGACATCACTCTGTGGCTCACTCTGTTAGTCTGATTGGACTGATGTCAGATGCAGATCAGCAGTAATTATTGCTCTGGCTTACTTTTTGTACTGTGTCTGGGTTACACAACATTTGAGCCTCGTCTGGCAGACTACACAGTGAATGCATGAAGGAATGATGCAGCATAGAGCTGCGATACCTCAACACAATGGTTGGTTGATGGTATGATTCCATTTAACATTCTTGGAACTACATATTTCAGTGTTCCCTCATTTTAAGTCTCTGATGCTTTCTTACATAAAACTACACATGTGTATGAAAGCTAACGAGTGCTATAAAAAACCACTAATGCAGCTCCACTGTCAGCTCTGCTCATGGGAACTTGCCTTGCACTTTAAAAGCCTTTAAACTTTAAAGGCTTTTGTGTAAGATGCATAATCATGGGGAAAAAGGAAATGAGCAAGAGACTTTAGAAAATACTGCTCCTTTACCTGTGGATCAGACACAGCAGTGCTGCTGGAGTTTTTAAACACCTCAGTGTCACTGCTGGACTGAGAATAGTCCACCAGCCAGAAATATCCAGCCAACAGCATCATGTGGGCAATGTCCTGTGACCAGTGGTGAAGAACTAGAGGATGACAAACACTGTGCAGCAACACATGAGCTATTGTTTCTGAGTTTACATCTATATTTTTTTTAAGTTGACAGTGTTTAAAAACTCCAACAGCACTGCTGTGTCTGATCCACTCACACAGCACAATATCAGCGTTACTGCAGTGCTTAGAATGATCCACCACCCAAACAATACCTGCTCAGTCATGGTCCTGTGGGGCTGACCATTAAAAAGCAGGGTAAAACAGTGGATTACAGACTGTAATTGTAGACCTACAAGGTGCACCAAGGAGGTGGACCTAATGAAGTGGCCAATCGGTGTATACACTGTGCAGTTCAATCTAGATATCAAACCTCATCACTCTGTAGACAAATCACAGACATCCAAAGAGGCTACACTGTGCAGGATGGCTTGCAGTAGAGTAAATACTTGTAATCTGAGATTAATGCTAAACCAGAGATTGTCTCTTCAACTTTGTCTTATGCTCTTTTTCCTTTTTTTCTTTTTGATCAGAAGATATACATTCAGCTGTCTCAGTTCTTAACACCTTAACATACTGACTGTTTTGTAGGTTTTATGCAGCTGTCATTGCATACTGCTGCCATACAGGCATTTTTCTGTTTAATCTGGAGATCAAACTTCCACACTCTGTAAGATTCCCTGTGCTAAACAGCTTTCCAGTACAGTAAGTACTTATAATCTGGGATTAATGCTAAACTGTAGATCGTCTTTTGAACTGTTTTGAGCTCATCTTTTTTTTTTTCTTTTTGGTGGTTTGTCTTGGTCTTGTTGCAGTAGTTAGAAGCTACATTTTGTTATCTGTGTGTTTTCCTTCATTATGCAGTAAGTAAAATAAGCATCAGTGCATTTTTGTTGGGTTTGGCTCTCACGCTAGTCACTTATAAGTGGCACCTCATTTAGCCATGTGCTGTTTACAGATATGTGCAGGTGGCACTTTGATGGGTCTGTGGTGAATCTGGGTTTAGTTTATTTTATCCTCAATCCTCAGCAAAAGTTTAGCCTACTCTATTAAATTTTGTTACTCACATGAATAGTGAGGATAAGTGAACCACTTCCTCTGCCAATTATACATGCTCAGCCATTTTTCACAGATGAAATGGTATAATTTGGATCACTGGCAGTTTGTCCCTACCACTCAAATCTTGCTCTATATTAAAACCATGTCCCATGTTGTTTTCAGGAAACTGCATCAAGTTAGTACAGTTTACCTGCAGTTTGTGTTCTACTCTCTGAAGGGCTGCACAGTTTATACTGTATATGGTGGCTCAATTTCCAGGTTGCCTTGGACAAGCAGAGCCATGGATCAGTCTCATGTGGACAAGGGATACATTTTTAAAATACAAGCCGGTGATTTCAAATCAAAATAACCACCTTGACATGTGAACATTATATACAGCCAATCACTGCTTCTTACTTGCTTACAGAATTCTGTCAAATCATGACAGCAGGGTGTTGTCAGGACAGCTGGGTCTCTGCTTGCAGTCTAGAGAGTGTTCCTGATCAGCTGGTGCTGTTATTGCACATTAGCAGTACTAGATTTAGAAAAATGTCTTTCATAATTCAAATTTTGTCATTTGAACCCATCAGGCCACATTAGTCACTTTTACAGAAATAGCTTTAATAATACATTAAAATACTCTTTTTATAGTGTACCATAGCTGTTGCAAATACTCAGTAACAAAAAAAAGAGGTCCAAACGTGAATAGGGTTACCATGCTTTAATAATAAATATATTAGCACATCTGATACAAACAAATATTGCACATAGCTCAGGCACATTACAAGTGTCAATTGTACTGTAGCATTGACCATCTTTAGGGAGTAGGCAAGTACACAAAGAAACATTTAAAACGTTTTAACTCAGGATAAGATTATCTTCACTGAACACAAATAGTGACTAAGCTTTGGCTGAGGGTTTTCATCCTTTAGGAACAAACAACATAAATGCAAAAAAGAAAAAAACAAAACTCCAATAACTGACAGTCAATTCCATTTCCACTCAATCACTCTGCAAAAAGCAAGAAATGGACTGATAAAGAACAGCACAGTGGAAACATGACCACCTACCCAGATGATCAAGTCATGGCAAGGAGCAGTACAAACTTGTGAGGAAAACAAGACAACAAACAAAAATCCCTTCAAGTTCACCATTCTTGCCTAAAATCATGGCAACTATACACAGTGCAAAGTGGGAGCTGAAAATAATAATAATAAAAAATGTACAAACGTACACAAATGTACAAAAACAAAAAAAACTACTTTAAATTGACATCTAAGTGCTTTTGTTAGCTGTGCAGACAGGTGAAAGACCATTACATGTGTGGCCCATGTGTGACATGGCGGAGAGAGTGCAAACCCATAATGCAACAGCCACGAATCAAAGCTGCAATGTTGTATACTGGTGCCCCACCAACTACACCATGCTGAGAGTATAGCCAGGCCACTGTGGGAAGAACGGGTGCTGCCACAGCAACTAGATCAATCAGGAAGCTGTTGCTCCAGTGACTTTTCCCCACTACAGCCATATTTGCATTGCTGCAAGCATCCTTCACACCAAAGTCTAGCTCCTCCATGAATCCTGGATCCATTTCAGGATCTGAGCCCTGGTTTGAACCACCAGGATCTTGAGAAATCACCAATGTAGTTGGGGCTGGGTCATTGGGTATGTGGTCAGACATCTCCACAAGGTCAGGATCCTGAGCTTGAAGTGGCACCTCATTTTTGATGTGCTCCTCTGCTTGGAGAACGTTCGGTTCCTGTGCTTTGGATAACTTCTGTGGGACGTTGGATGAGGGAGTCATCAGGCCTGAGAACCCAGTGTTCTGGAGCTTAAGCAGCTGCAAAAGGAGAGCCTGGAGATCGGGGGTATGCAAGACTTCATCTGTCTGCACTGCCTTCTCCTCACCAGGATGTTGCTGTTCAGCAGAGACCTCACTGGAGATTTGATCTTTTGTGCTCTTCTCTGTGTCCACTGAGGTACTCTGTAAAGTGGACAGTCCTGGTGGCTGGTTCATGAGCTTGCCGCTGCAGTCCTGGCTGGAATCCACAGCTGTGGACATAAGAACCTTCTCCAGGATGTCCATTTGGTTGGCCATCTCATCATTAACCAGCAGCCCGCTGTCTGCCATCTCCTCCACTGCCTGATCCTGCACCTGCAGTTCCTCCTCCAGCTTCCCTGCAGAAGGTCTTTCTGGAGAGTCACAGATGAAGTCCAGAGTGGGCTCATCATGTAGGTTGGCACCACTTTGAGCAAGCTCCATGCTGTGCAGCAAGGACTCCAGCTTTCTGTTCTGGATGTTAATATCAATAAAATACTTCTGAATGCCCTTATCCTTCTCCATCAGACTGTTCTTCATGGTCTCCACTACTTGCCGGAGCTGTTTGATCTCTTTACGTGCCTCCTTGAGGGCCAGCTGTGCCTCCACACGGTGACACTCCTCCTCAATCCAGTCCTCACGCATCCGGCCCAGCTGGGACTTCAACTCCTGAATCTCAGAATCCCTGGTGGATGGGAAACAATCACTATTATGCTGCTTCATTGCACTATTGAAGTTTTTGAAGGCTGGAGACTGTATGCAAGAGGTGCACGAACAGCACTTACCGGTCATTAACTGTTTGCTCAGAATCCTTAAGCTTGGTCCTCAGGTGCCTGATGGTCACCTCTTTCTGCTGTAGAGGGGTCAGGTATTGCTCTGGGTTGGGGGGCTTGATGCCATGATTGTCCCCGCATGAATGGTAGCGCCCAGAAGTGGTTCTCCTGGAAAGAATTTAACTTCAGTCAAAAGAGTTATTAGAATCTGAAATCCTTATTCCAGTAATGGGAGCAACTGTTTCCATCATTATAGAAATAAAAAGTGAGACAAAATAATTAGATTTTGAATGTACATCTATTCAGCCACTATTTTCCGCACACAAAGGCGGCCAACAATTAGACCCTTTGTGAGTTCGCAGCATGTTTTCATTCATTTGTATGAATACAAAAGGAGAAGGCAGTGGATGAATATGCTTTAAAATGTAGATCAGAGCCTTGGGTAACAGGCAGCCGTGCTTGGATTGGAGCACAATATACTAGCGACCTCCTGATTTTGCTTTGGTTTTGTATTTCTGCCAGAAATAGTGTGGTGTGAATGAGGACGCTGCAGGCACAAGTCAGGCATTACTAAATCAACACATTTCCATGTGTTTCCATCATGCATCCTTGAAATTGCTCTGCTTTTGAGACATTGATGCAGCTTTGGCACAATACAACAATCCTATCCTCCAAAAATATGGCAAAAATGAATCAAAACATGAGAGCCAGCAAAGCTTACCAACATACTGACTGAGTACATGAAATATTAATGCTCCCACACACTGCCACAAGATGGCTTTGAATAAACCCCAGTAGCAAAAGTCAGTAGCCATGTGTGCAAAAGGGTAGAGATTATGATTATAATGCCTGATCCACACACACACACACAAGGCCCTTATTTTACCTGCTGCTGGGGCTAGAGTTGCTGCTGATATTTGATGAAAAGGGGCTTTTAGGGGGCGTCCTGTAAGGGGCATATAGTTCTGCATCGCGATGGGCAGTGGGGCTTCCTGGAGGCTTAAACACAGGCTGGCTCCTGATGTGGGGCACACGACTAGAAAGGAGAGAACATAAGGAAAGTGTCTTTGAATTCCACCAAATTACTAGGTGTAGCCAAGTGTACTTTTAAAAGCATTTACATCTGCAAGACCATCTTCAACCAGTTAGATGCATAGATGATTATATAGTCAAGCTTAATTCTGCTAAATTAATAACTCATTTTAAAAGGGGGTTTATGTTTTCCTGGCTCTCTAAATGTGTATGGTAGTAGCATGTGATTGTGCATGTAAAAACTGGTTGATTTTGGAAACTCTTGGTTTATTGCTCTGAACTTGGACCTAGCAGCCTTACATTTGACCTTTGTGAAGATTTACTTGGAAGAAAATCTCATTAGGTCTCAAAATCTAACATTATTTGTATTATTTTAGTAGCCAAGGCTACTGTACGCTGCTTTACCTGCGTGTGGAGCAGCTCTTCTTGCCTGTGGAGTTGTTGGCTGGAGTATCACGGGTCTTGAAGCTTCCAGTGCTACTGGAGGAGCTAAAGTCAGCCTCACTACCTGCAAGACATGACATGCGGCGTTGTACATGTTTCAGTAAAAGATACAAACACAGACTTACATTTACTGCAGTTTTCTTTTTATTAGACTAGCAACAGTCAGTCAAGAGCCAAGCACATCTAACAGACACTTCACAACCAAAGCACTTCTTCACTAAGCCTAAAACCTGTAGGTAGGCCAGCCTTTGAACTGAGTGCTCTCCAGCCTCCACAGTAGAGGAGGATAGTCCAGCATTTAACTCTTCAGCAGCTGCTGGATCTCTCCCTGTCTTATTTTTATATTTTATCTTCCAAGCCCAAACCTTTCCTTGCTAAAACTCCCCTTTAGATGGTCAACACAGTGGGACACAGCATGCACCACAGAAAAGTAAAATTCAATGATGGTCAAATACTGAAATTTAAACAGCAATATTACCAATAATAAATGTGTTCTGAAAAAGTGATACCAGAGTGAGCTTATTTAAAACCTTAATTTCTCTTAAGCACATGTATGCATACCTGAGAAGCATCTCTTTCCTTTGGACAAAACCATGATAATGTGTACTCTTTGAACTTGTGACAAAAAAAACAAAACAAAACAAACAACTGCTAAACCTAGCAGTTCTCCTGTGTTGTGAAAAAGTTTGACTGTTGGTCAACTCGTTCAACCAATGACATAAGTTAACTACTTCTAATTACTCTGATTGGCCATCTGCAGTCCAACTGGCCCACCAATCAGCAGCCTCTTTGACGGAACACAATCAGGTAGGAAACACCTGTCATTTCATGGCTTGGTGCACTTGTAGATTTTGTCCTGGTGCAAACATAAAAATACTTCACCTTACAGTGGTGACCTTGTAAATAGTATGCAGAGGCATATTAGTTCAAAGCATTACTCAACTCAAAACCACTTTCTGACTTAGACTGTCAACTTGTGGACACATAATGGTCACATAATTCCTGATAAATAAAATTCTTAAACATATTGTGGCAATTTATCTAAGTTATTGCAAAACAAAAGAAGACTTTTAAGGATGCCACAGTCTTATATCTAAAGCTATCGTTTACCCACCTCTGTGCTGTACAGAGGGGCGTTGCTGCTCCCTCTTGTGCTTCTGTGTGGGGGCTCTCCAATCAGCCATCACGTTGACTCGGACTCTCTTGACCGTGGCCTTGCGCTCCCCTGATGGGGGTGACCCCAGAGGGCTGTTATCGGAGCCAGATGGGGTCTTAGCTGGAGAAGCACACTGACTGCTCGGGCATCCAGTGTCATCTGGGAACAGCAGTGAACAACTGCAATTACTGTAGTGAAGGTCAATGCATGATGCCTTTTCAGACACATGCACTACTGTCCTTTTTTTTACTGCAAAAAATAACAAAGGTGGCAGAAATGGTTTTCTGGAGTCATACAATCAAAGAAACACATTTGGTTCCCTATAAAACCTTTCAATCAATATTTTTTTAAATGTTTGTAGAGAACAATAAGCTTCGAGAAGTTTAAAGAATCTTTCATATAATGAAAACATTCCACACCAATGAAAGTATTTTCTTTCCTAGAACTGTTAATTTCATCTAAGAATTCCCTAGAAAGCATTTTTTAACAGTGTTATGTAGATGCACCCCTGCATCTTGAGGATCTAAGCACTGTACCTGATGAGAAGCTGTTGGGACTGATGGTTCTCTTTGAGTTCTCTGTGCTGATGTCACAGTCTTTGCTCTCCTCCTCTGAAAATGGAAGCTCAGAAATGGGCGATCCTTTAGGACGGAAAGGTTGAAGGACGAGGCGGGGAATGCGACTACGAGTGCTTGCCTTCCCTGATGACTTCTTTATCTGTAATGGATGCTAAATCGATTACTGAGAACACTGCAACAGTATTTTTCCCCCTCTCAACTGTCCTGTTGCCATAAAAACTCATCTTGTTTCATTCTACATTGACTGTGCCTATTGCTTGTAATACACATAACAGGTAAGGCACACAACTAGAGAACTAGACAAAAATCGTCTAACAAAAAATGCTAATCATTGTGGACAAAAGCGCACCTCATATTCCTGAAATGGCACCATTCTGCTTCTGTCTTGGTAGATCTGTAAGAGAGAAAAGAAACATTTAGGTGGTGCAGCATCTTGAGATGTGGCCTATCCTCCTCAAACTAGGCAACACTGTATAAAATAGCTATTGTGAGACATGCCTAGATACCACTGTTACTAACTTCACTACATAAATGAGTCCAATGAGTGTGTGCCTAAAGCATGTGTACAGCATTATATATGACTCATAGTTTGACTGTTCCTTGTCATGATTCACAAGCAACCAATGGACTGAAGAGCCTTCACCGGTATGGGCTGTTATCATTAAAACTACTTACTCCTGCTTGATTGTGACCTCAGTCTCATGACCAGCCACTGTGTCATATATAAACCTTCATTGCTTAAGACCACTTGAAAACAGCAGTATGACCTAATTTCTGCTAATCACTGGTGAAATGAAATACTTGTCTAGAGACTCAAAAAATGGTAAAGATGTGCAGTAATGCTGTTCTTCAGCATTGAGTGCTCTCTGCATGTGTACTTGTTGTTTATTTATAAATCAGTGTTTAATAATTTAGCATCCGTAAGAAACCTGACAGTGTCTGATGACATAACTCAGATCCCCAGCTCAAAAGGCTTGTGGTCATCATGATTCTCAGCAGACTCTACAGTGGTTAAAAGGGCTGCTTATGTAAAAGGCAGACGTGCTTACTTCATTGCGAATGACGTAACCAACCCTGCAAGGTCCAGGTTTATCGCATCACTGCGTCTTACGTCTTTTCCTTTTAGAGCCATATGCTCGTTATGAAGTGCATGGAAAGCACAGATTTCCCCACATATCTCTCTCACATACAAACACATATGAGAATATCAGCTTGCTATGGACTTTTAATGAGAAAATGCATGTCCTTGCATTTGATGACGTTTGAATTTTCCACCTTCTCTACCAACTGAAAACCCAAGCTGACTGCATTCTTTAGGACCAAAATGTGTGCAATTTACTATACATGGGGATTCAATAAGCTTTCCCTGTCTCTCTTTAGCACACAAAAACTCTGCTTAGAGAGCTTGCACTGTAATATGTAGTGTGCTGGTCATATACTTAATTTTATCCACTGGCTCTGACTATCACTGTCACGTGGTCCCTGCCTAGGGTGCCGGCTGTCACCTCTACTATTTGCCATTGCAATGGAATCTCTACCAATAGCTCTTATGTCCTTTCTCTTTTTTTTATACGTGAACGTGTTGAACAAAGGTTCATCTTTTATGCAGATGTCTTATTGTTATGCATCTCTGACCCTATATGTAATGGGTCATTTTCTGGCTTTGTGCTTAATTTGTAAAAGAATGAATGCTTTCCCATACATATCTTAGCACTGGAGATCACCAAAAAGATTTTCCATTTTGTGTTGGCTCTTGTGGTTCTAAAAAATTAAAAGTCAATATATCTTGCTCTCTACCCAGAATATTTTCTGCAAACTGTACCTTACTGTACTTTGCAAACTGTACTTTGCATTTTTAACTTTAGAAATGCGAAGTTGAGGCAAAAAAGAGAAAGTGTTCTTAGGGACCCTCATTGGCACCCTTATTTTTAAGGTGCACACATTTATTTGGATTATATTCAGTACACTTTCATTTTCTTATTTGCATTGTTTATGTTAAAGAAACAGTTACAAGTCTTTTCATTTGTTGATGTCTTCCGATCCAACCAAATTCTTTTTCTTCATAATATAAATCCTCTCATCCAGAGAGCTTCAAGATTGTTAGTTGCTCCAGTTTGTGTTGTCCACAGAGCTCAGTGCCCTAGCAACAGACTTAGCAATGAAGAAGAAATGAAATATTGTGAAGAATATGAAAATCCTATAGAGGATCAACAGTTCTTCTAGACCTTTAGGTGTTTACTGGTCATAAAACCTGTATTCCATCCATGTCTTAGTCAAACAGATGAATAAGAATTGTGCCTTCCTTCAGCTTGACAGAGAAGCAGTGACTGGTGTGCTTACCTTAATATTTAATGTCACTGTTTGATAGCTGGAGTCTGTTGTTGACTATTTTTCAATGCCAATGTTGACTATAGTTCAAATGTGTATTCACTCTATGGCTGGAATATGGCTGGAGCTCAACAGCAGTAAGGTCATATTTTCTCTGACTCATGGCTCCTTATGTAATGCATTTGAGCGAGTGAACCACTTTCACTTCAAAGACGGGTTTTCAATGAAGTAGTAATCCATTCTAAATTATGGTTATTGATTTAACCCTAAGAATACCAGAACACAGAAATCACCTGTTGTTGAAATCACAAACATTTCTTTTTACCTCATCACAATGCCTCTGGATAGAGACAGTCATGCAATAAATAAATAAATAAACAAATAAACAAAAGCACATTTCACAGCCTTAATAATGATGATGGTGCTACAAACTGGTACCTTGTTATTGTATTTACTGGAGATTTTTGGAATTGGTAAATGTTTCAAGGACGGTTTTAATATGTTAAATGTGAAAAAATGTTAAATTTTTTCACATTTTAAAAATAAAAATTTGATGTACTATGTAAACATTGTTAAAGATGGGAAAAAGCTGCTAAAACTGTCTGTTTGGATTGTTTTTGTAATGCCACCAAAACCAAATGCACTCCATTTACAATGAACAGCTACTACCTGCTTAGTGAATGAGGCACAATGCAAGGCAATCAGAACAGAGCCTGTTTACATACTTACTCTTAAAGTAACAGTAAGCACAGCAACAAAAACACCCTGTTTCATTCTAATGAAGAGAGATTGGAAAATGGTCATTTAAAACAATAATCATGACTATTTTTGGGACATAAAACGACACAAACAAAAGTGGACCCCAAGGAAAATAATACAGTACATGAAAAAGTAGGATTATAGGCCATTTTGGCAACATAATGGATTATAAAGACTTATTCTTGGGTTTGTTGACTGAGAACGAGTCCCTTCAGCATTTTTAGTCTTTTTTGTCTTCATTTGTGTAAATGACAGGTAAGTCAACAACAGCCAACAGACCAACACAAAGAGAGGCACATGTCCAAATATATAACACACTATTATTATGGTTTTCTTAAAGGGGCTGATACCGTTGTTGACATTCTTGTAGAGATGCTGAGGACATTCAAGCTTGTAATACAGCAGTGTTGACCAATAAGCTTAATTAACCACCATCAGGAGCTGCACTCTCACAGGGTACAGAGCAGAGAGTACAGTACGTGCTGTCCACTGAGCTGGTGCTGAATCTGAATAACTGCGTATCAACCTGCCCCACCTAACATGCTAACAGGCTACTGTTAACCAGCAGCCAACCTACTTTGATCCATACATGCCTACTTTACAGTGAATATCTCAGGACATGCGCACACCACGATGACTGATGAATATGTTTATCATGCATCATATCTAAGTGTTCATGCTGATGGTCAGTCTGCAGCCTCGGAGTTCAAAAACACCGGAGCTTTAAGTGTCAGTCAGACACGCTCTGAGCTCTCATTCTCTCTCCTCGGAGCCAAAACCAGCAGTAAGTGTTGTGACGCAGTAAGTAAAAGCACCTGCCTGAGCTGGGAGAGGTGGATGGGTCTCTGTGGTGAAGATGCGCAGCGCTCCTCAGTCAGATGTCAAATCAGGGGTCTCCAGCTCTTGTTTGTCTGGCCGTTTGTCGTCCTGTCCCTCACGTGCGCTCTCTGGGGCGGTCACTCGTGCTCCTCTTGGTCAGATGGCAGGACGAGACCACACTGGCTCTCACAACAGCGCTGCTCTGGGGCTGATATGACTGATCTACCAAGTATGTTATGTAACGCAACAAGGATTAACTCTTACTGCGCCAGCGGGCTGAGCAGACTCGGTAGTGATGGAGATGGAGAAGCTCAGCTCGGCTGTGTTTACACCTCTTCAAGGTGCTGAAGTTCAGTGGATCAGACCGCAGAGCTTCAGAAGGAGCTTTGGCTACCTTTACTAGAAGGAACCCTTGTTTTAGCATATTATTTGATTATTTTTGTTAGGTGGTCGTGAAGTGCGTAGCAAGCCAATTTTCGTGTTCACGAGTATAAACAGCGATAAACAGTTTCTAACCATTTAAAGATGAAACATATCCAGCTAGAGTGCTTGATCAAATAAAAGGCTATAAAATACCACTAGATGACTGTCTGAGCCTAACTGTGTTGTCTTTGTTGTGAAAGCCCATCTGACAGAGAACCCTCCCCTGGAAAATAAAGACAAATACTGCCCTCTGGTGGTAGAACAACCTAAATGAACAGACTGATTGGGCTTTGGGGAAAACAGAACAGATAGACAGCCACCACAGGCTATCAAGAGACCCGTGACGATCTATGTTATTTTCAAAACTAAAACTTTACCGTAAATGGTTTAAATATAATATATATTTTAGATGGTCAATATTTCTTCCCTTTTACTTCAAAACCTTGCTCGAAAAACGAGCAAAACCAGCATATGTTGTGTTTTGGATGCTGGTCAACAGCGATGGAAGTCAATATGCTGGCCGTTATGATGTTTTGAGTGCTTTTGAATGAGGTATAATTCAGGACAGCCAATCAGAGCAGAGCTCGTTTATGTTTCGTCTTAAAGGCACAGTAACAAAAACAACCTGTTCAGTTCAGAGGGACAAAGAGAGGCTGGAAAATGGTAAACGTGAACTGTGACCATGTTTTGTACAAAAAAACCACACAAATGTTTTAAGTAACCTCTAAAATAAAAAAATAAAATACAAGAAAAGTGTAGGATATATAAGAAACTGGAGGAAAATTACACAGAAGCCTCAACAACTAAATACAATATATATACATATACAGTGTATCCACCCATTACTTTAATTACAGTTTTTTTAGAGAAATCTGAAAAGATATTTTTCCACACCTCCAAAGTTCAGTCTTTGCATTTTTGCTTCTTATAATCTAAATAACCACTCAAATAAAACACACACTGAAGTGGTCAGTCCATTTTTCTGAGAACAATCTGTTCTACAGTCTGTTTCCTTTTCTCAGTAATGGCTTCTTGACAGCTACTTTTCTTTTCAGACTCATAGTGTTGAGTTGTCCTCTCACAGTGGAAGGATGGACAGAAACACATGGATTTTTTTCAAGTCTGAAGCAAGAGTGGAACTTGATTTTCTCCTCTCTCTCAAAGATCAGCTGTGTCTCGGATGCTGACAGTTTTGGTGGTCTACCGGGTCTTGGAGTTTTTAGGAGTCCCAGTTTCTCTGTATCTTTTCATAATTTTTTTTAACTCTAATTTTGGAAATGCCTGTTTTTGCACTTATTTTTCTTTGACTCTCCTCTTTCTTATGCAGGTTGATTATCTAATATATCCTCAGAAACATCTCCTGAAAATAAATAACTTGTACTTAAAGGCCATTTTGGCTGAAAAATTAAATAAATGAAAAGTGTCTGACTTTTTCACAGTAGAATGTATTTATGTATATATGTGTGAATGTAAAACTTTGCATCGTCTTTTTTTTTATATCAGCAGCCATTTACACATTTACAAAATTTCTTGATGAACAGACAAATAGAAATGGTCCAAAATGACTTAATGTGAACAGACGCTCGCGAGGATTGGAAAAAGAGGCTTTTTTAAAGCGTTATCCAAACTCGGTGTCAGTAAACAGGCATGGATCAGATCCAAAACAATCCAAAAATACAAAAAGACAAACATAACAAAGCAGGCAAACAAGATCAAAAAGGGCAAAGGCAAAAGTTGGAGTCGCAACTCCAGAAAACAGTCCGATACACAACAGGCAATACAAGAAAACCGCTTAAAAGAGAAAAGCAATACCTAAAGCCTGGGCTTTATATTAAGTACTCTAGGTCACATGAAAAACAAGACAGGTGCCGCATATTAGTATTCTGGTGAAGGAGACCGACGATTAGTTGTGGATGTTGAGCGGTCAGTCACGTGATCTCCAAGGGAGTTCTGGGAGTTGGAGTTCACTAACTGGTCAGATTATGAGGGATGTGTGACACTTAATAAAATCTTTTTTTCCATGAACTTATATGAAAAATTAAGAATATTACTTTATTGGAGACAGTGACAATAGATATACACATATGAAGCATTTTGTTCCAAAACACATTATAAGTCTGTAATGTGTTTTAGAACAAAATCCTTCATATGTGTATTTCTATTGTCATTGTCGCAACAAAATCTCTAAGAAAGTAAAATCTTTTCATTTCACTTTCATTTTTCACTTTGCATGTGAGCCTAGGGTCATCATGCCCAGTGCTGGTATTAGCCTGTGGAGCTGTGGAACTTTGTTCTCTGGGATGATGAAGCTCCATCAAATCACCTTTGGGATGAGTTTCATTTGGAGTGGTGTTTGTAATCCAGAACTAATCCTCCAATACCTGACTCACTAATGCTATCACATTGAGCTACATCTAGCGCAGAGTCTTCCCAGAATAGCAGAGGCTGTTACGGCAGCAAAAGAGGACAAACTCCTCATTAATACTCTTGATTTTAGAAGAAACTCTGTAAGAGCAGGTTTCTAGAAACTTTTAGTCATGTTAGTCTTCTTATCCTCTGACTCTCTGTAATATCCACAGTTTTAGTCCTTAGAGATGACACTTTGTGAAATAGTCTGGGAGCAAGTTGTATCAATTGTGTCACATCATTTCTACAAATGTTTAAGCCCCTCTAAAAGTACACATACAGATGAGTGATAACCTGAATCATTCGTAATTAGAACATAATGAGTGCAGATGCTTTTAGACATGGCAAGATGAAATGATCTTATTTTTGAAAGAGGGTTCACTTTGGGGAATGGATGGCAGGAGCTTCAGTCACAAAGCCTGCTCAACTAGCTAGTGGCATCTGCATTTAGATCTATAGGAAGGACATCAGTAAACAGGTCTGAAAAATGTGGTTGAAAGTACACATTCAACAATCATGAGGCTCAAATGTTAGTGTGATATTTGAAGAAAGACAGAAGAGCAACAGTTCCTCTGAGCAAGTCAGTGCTGGTCATGATCAGACTGTCTGTAATAACACTTGGAGCAAACTGCATAGAGAGGGATATTGTAGTAGGGTTACAGTGCATAAACCCCTCATTACAAAGACCATTGCTGTGGGGAACATTTTGCTGGAATGGTATTAGAGGGAAGGTTCAAACTTAATCTGACTGATCACCTTTATCCTATGATGAAACATTTCTATCCAGGATGATAGTGCCCACATCCACAGAGCACTGAATAGTTTGATGATTATGAAAATGATGTAAATCATATGCCATAGCCTTCACAGTCACCAGATCTCAAACCGCTCCCCACTACCAACATCAAAACACCAACTGAGGGAATACCATTTGGAAGAATGATGTTTCTCTCAGTGCAGTTCCAGTGACGTGTAGAGTCTATGTCAAGGCACACTGAAGCTGTTCTGACCTTACTAAGACACTTCATTTTGATATTTTCTTTAATTTGTCATTTACATTTAATTTGTCATGGCATGCATATATAGAACACAAAAAAACAAGTACCTCCAAATGGTAACTTTACAGGAGAAGGAAAAAACTTTTTTTTTTACTTTTAATGTATGTTAAAGAGTGAAAGAGGCGCATTTCTATTGGTCCATTGGTCATGAAATTTACACACAATGTCAAGAGCAGCTGTGCTCAAATGATGTTTATTTATTTATTTATTTATTTAGTACAGGGACAATATGAAAATATATGTAAACATATATGTATTCACTGTATTCGGTAATAAAATGTGTTGCATGTAGCATTTTTCCATAACAATTACATTAAGCCCTGCGTTTGCCACATCTCTGCACACAAGGGCTTTTATTTAGCAAAGTATCTACACGAAATAAGACCGAAAATAGAGCTAAATAAATATTTAACCATGCTGAAAAATAGGCTGCCTGAAAAAACAAGAAAAAGTACTTCTCATGTTGTATGAAGTGCTCCATCAATTCACTTTGAATTACAACAGCTAACTTTTAACAGGATGTGCAGTTGGATTTTGAGCCTATAGTTTATAGTCACTCTCTCTCTCTCTCTCTCTCTCTCTCTCTCTCTCTCTCTCTCTCTCTTCCTCTCTCTCACACACACACTGTGTTTGTGTGTCGTAGATGAGGAAAGTTTGGCATGAAAATTCTTCAGGTTTGAGAAGTTTTAAATATATATTTACACCCTGTTGTTACTCCTGGGAACTGTTTTCCACCAGCTAATGAGGCTCTGGAGCACAGTTCACTCTGTTATTTCTGGCATGCACCAGCCTCACACACACACACACACACACATATTCTCTCTCTCTCTCTCTCTCTCTCTCTCTCTCTCTCTCTCAGTAGCTCAGTGCTAATAACAAATAAGAGGAAATACATCATGCCTTTTAATTTAAGAGCCAGGGCGGAGGTCTGCCAAAGTTAACACGAGGCAATCTTAGGTAATGATCAGCAAATGTGTATTAAGTTTCATTGAGCATGACTTCACATTCCTCATCTTTAGCCCAATATGGCGGTATCTTAACTCTGCTGCTGCTATGGAAGGGGATGCTGTGGAAGGCCAGATTTATGTTTATGGGAACCACTTGTGCTGAAACAAATGAAGTTGGAGGGTTTGTATAACTCAGGCTAGGACTTCCACACCTAAAGGCTAGCCTCGGCAGTCTCTCACCTTCTGACCCACACCGTCCTCTAATCACTAATAGCTCTCAGTTCCTCCGTAAAGGAGTCAGACTTTCCACAGCTTTATGGATGCTGAGTGTGCTACAGTCAGTATAATCTGCTCAGGTGGCATGCGTGCCATCATAACTCAATAAGAGTCATCATGTATTCAATCTGAGCAGTTTTTTTTAAATGTAGTAGCTGTAGTGTTGAGCGATACTGATGAATTTGAAT